ATCCCCTGCAGGAGGGCATGGCAGCCCACTCCAGTATTCTTGCCTGGAGAATCCCATGGACAGAGGAGCCTGGCAGGCTACCTTCCATAAAGTTGCAGAGTCGGACACGACTGAAGCACCTAGCCCACACGCACATACGTAATAGCTGATTCACTTCGTTGTGCAGTGGTGGCTAACACGACACAACATTGTGAAGCAATTATACTCCAGTAAGAAATAATAAATAAAGAGGGAGACTTCCCAAGAAAGGCTCATTGTGCTGAGTGTGTAAGGAGACCTCTGATAGATAACCTCATGAGCCTTAGGCAAGAGTGGTTTGAAAGCAGGCTTGGCAAGTGTCTGTTCTAATTTAAAGCAATTGGATCTTGTCATGTTAAATGCTTTGATCCTTTTCTATCAGTGGGTTTCAGTTTGTGGAATTATTCTAGGGAGTTTGGTAATGCATACATTACAGTCTGTGCTCAGGCTCCTGACATCCTGATCTTAGGGGAACTGACCTACCTCTGATTTGCATTGACTGAATGTTTCCACTTTGTATCATTTAGAAGGATGGCAGGCAAAGCATTTCTGTTTTTTTGGACAGCTCTTTCTAATTCAGCTGGGGTCTAAAGAGGAAGAGCGGATTTCTTTCCTAGACCCTTCAAAGAAACCAACCCTAGCTTTTGTTCTGCAGATAGCACAGGCCTCTAGGGAGGCTTTCCTTTGCACCGAATCAAGGCAGAAAGATAATCCTATGAATCTGTGTTACAGATTCTTCCCAGAGATCAGCTTTCTAACCGAACCTTGTGTTTGTACCCAAATTTAACTGTAAACCCAAAGTGGAAGTGTAATGCAATTCATCTCCACATTCAGTGTCATTTGACTATTATAAAGTCTCATACCTGTTATTTTTTAAAAGATGAAAGTTACCATAGCATTTTTGGGGTAACAGTTTTATTGAAATATTTTTCACATATCATACAATTTACCTGTTTAAAATGTATACAATTCAGTGGGTTCTAGTATATTCATGAAGTGTGTAACTATGACCACAGTAATTGAAAAAAATCTTTTTTGACCACAGTAATTTTTAGAATACTTTTGTCACCCCAAGAAGAAACCCTGAACCCTTTAGCCATCAGCCTCCTAGTACCCTGATACCCCAGCTCTAGGCAGCAGCTACTAATCTAATTTCTGTTTGTATAGATGTGCCTATTCTGAGGATTTCATGCAAATGGAATTAAACAATATACGGCCTTTGTGACACGCCATTGTATAGATATACCAGATTTTATTTGTCCATTCGTCAGTTGTTGGACATTGGGATTGTTTCCACTTTTTGGCTATTATGAATAATGCTGCCATGAACATTTTTGTAGAAGTTTTTGTGTAGCATAAGCTTTTATAAGACCTGTATTGTCTATAGTAGCTAGCATTTATGCAGTGTATACCATGGACCAGGCATTGTGCTAGCAAATTGATTTTTACCTTCAAGAAATTGCAGTGTAATGGTGGAGACCCATCAGTAAGTAGATAATTATTGTAAAGCATGATTAAGTGCTATATAGGGACTTCTCGGCAGTCCAGTGGTTAGGACTCCCTGCTTCCACTGCAGGGGGCGCGGGTTCGATCCCTGGTCAGGGAACTAAGGCATGACACGTGGCACAGCCCACAGGAAAAACAAAGAGTAAATGCCATATAAAGGTAAGCCTTGGGTACTGTGAGCGCATCGGCGGGGCACTGAATGAGTGCAGGCGGGGAAGGTGCGGAGTAAATTAAAAGAGCCAGAACAGGAAGGAATGAGCCAGGTGAAGACTGGAGAGAAGGGTCTTCAAGGCAGAGGAAGCGGCTGGTGTGAGGCCAAAGAGGAGAGAGTGCTTGCCTGAGTTTGAGGACCTGGAAGGAATTCTTCTGAAGAATTCGCTTTGTCCTCCTGTCAACCGCTCGTACATAGGAATTCCCTGGAGTGGATGGCTGGAGTGTTGGGATGGGGTTGGGAGGGAGAGGCGTGAGATGGGCTGAAGGAGGAGCAGAAGAGCGGTCTGCAGTGACCTTTAACGTCATGCCCAGGCTGTGAGTGGAGTGGAAAGAGAAGAGGCTTGGAAGGGGGCCTTGAGAAGATAGGAGGGCTTTTTATTGTAAAATATGACACATAAATAATGTAAGCATGTAGGCTCAGTTAGAGGAATAAAAATCTCTACCATTTAAACATTTTCATATATATTTTTCCAGTGTTATTCAGGCTAAGTAGCCGATTTAAATTTTAGTTCATAATAGGGAATGAAATGTCACTTTCCCTCTGTAAGTAAGTGCAAGCCTTTCCTCACGGGGCTTACTTTACAGCAAGCCCTGTTCACAGGCTGGTGGGAGTTCTCTCTCCATTACGGGGCTCCCTTCCTCTCCTGCAGTGGCATTGCAAGAGCCCCGTGGCTCCTCACCCCCTCATGTCCAGACTTAGCATCTCTCAGCCGTTCCCCGTCGAGAGAGCTGACGGTGCTGAGGCCCTGCGGGGGACTCCTGTCCTGGGTAAACACCACCTTTTACTCCTGTTGGTTTGTTTCACAACCTGTCTCCATTCCCCCTTTGGAGCAGCCTAGCATAACCCTCCTTCATGTGTGCCTGCAAACATAATGTCGGCCTCTTTTTTGTGGGGGTGGGTAGGGGTAGGGAAGTGTAAGTTAGGTGTGGGGTTTTTTTTGCTTTACTTCTTAAAAAATAACTTACTGTGACGAGGAGATATGGTGAGTTATGATATTCTAATTGTAGGCTGGGTGCCTGCATTTTTCTGTGCCACCCTTTAATGCTTCTAGAATATTCCAATGTATCCATATCTGTAATTTACTTATAGATAACATGAATCCAACAACTCTGGGTATAAAAGTTTTGCTGTATTTTGAATAAATTCTGGAGGTGGAATTACTGAGTCAGAGGACATGACTTTGTTGGGTTTTTTTTTGGTATTATTACCGAATCATCCTTTATTGTCTCTGGATCACAAACTTAGCAGCTTGAAGTTGCACCCATTTATTAGCCTACAGTACTGTAAGTCACAAAGAGTTGGACATGACTGAGCTCGTGTGTGTGCATGCATGCATGTGCGCGCGCACACACACACACATTCTTTCTCTGTAGGTCAGAAGTCCAGGCTGCTTTCTGTTTGGTGTCTCATAGGCTGAAACCCGTCTTCATGTGGGGGCTCCGTTGACTTAGGGAAGAATCTGCTAACAAGCTCATTCAGGTGGTGGGAAGAATTCAGTTCCTGGGGGTTATGGGACTGAGGCCCCTGTTTTTTGCCAGTTGTTATTTAGGGATCTCTCTCGGTTTCTGCCATGTGGTCTGTCCATCTTCACAGCCGGCAGCAGAGTCTTCTCCATGTTGAATCCCTCGCCCTCCAAGTCTCTGACTTCCTCTGGCTCTGACCTCTGGACCTGCCCTTAAAGGGCTGATGTGGAGGTGTCTCTGTCTGCTCCTCCAATAACCATCCCAGATGGAAACTATGTACTCACTAAACCGTATCACCTTACCCCCAGCCCCCTAGTCCCTGGCAACCTCTGTTGTACTCTCTGTATCTATGACTTGACCTTTACCTAGTCTGGACACCTCATAAAAGTGGAACTATGCAGTACCTACCCTTTTTTTTCCTGACTTATTTCACGTAGTGTAATGTTTTCAAGGTTCATTCACGCTGTAGCACGTGTGCCATTGTGTGTGTACCATGCTCCGTTTGTCCATGCATCAGCTGGTGGGCGTTTGGGTTGTTGGGGTTGTTTCAGGCCTCTTTATCTTAGGGTTTAACTGATGTGGGACCTTAATACACCTCAAAGTACTTTTACTAGATTAGTACCTAGACTAACAGGGAGAATGTGTGTGAATAGCAAGGACCCGGAATCTTGGAGCCACCTTAGGATTCTTGCTACCACACACCCTCTAGAAAGATAATACTGCTCCTGGTTGCAGATACCATCTTGCCCTCTTTCATATCCTTAGTGTATAAATTGTCCAGAAGAGTTTTGGAAATGGCATTTCATTTCAGAGCCTGTCTTTGCAGCTGGGCTTTTCTCTACTCACGACTCCAGTGAAATGAAGAATGCGTAATAATCCCCTTCTCAGTCTCCCGTGAAAACAATCTGACATCTTGTCCCTAATATTACAAGTTTCTTGGGGGTATATGAGTGATAAACCCATTAAGAAGACCAGTGAAAGTGAGGAAGAGAATTTCTGTTTACCATTTGTGATTTGTGAGTGTAGCAGGGTGTATAAAATGCATTCTCTCTGGACTATCTCTTGGAAAGAGCTTAGAGCACTTAATAAGCAAACAACAGCACAGACTGTTTCATATAATGCCCTGGGAATGCAACAGGACTTGAATTTGTCCAAATGAGAGAATTTAGGGCTGTAGCTGCCATGAGTAAAATTATTCTCGTGCTCTAGCCTGCATGCAAATCTCCTTGATTCAGTGGGTTTTTGGAAATTGGACATTGGCTCCTGAAAAGATGGTGCTCCCTAGAAGTTGGGAGACTTGGGAAATGGAAACCAGTAAAATGTGCTGGAAATCTCAGATTAAATAGGAACTGAGCATCTCAAGGATATGACTGTAGAGTCAGCGGAAGTGGTGTTTGAAAATATTCAGTGGCCATTTAGCTTGGAGGAGAAGTCCATGGCTTTTGGAAAGGCATGGAGAGTGTGTGTGTGTGAATGTGTGTGTGTGTGTGTGTGGAAGGAGCTCTTAGTAGCTCACTTTGCTCTGAGCTAGTTGGATTCTCCGACAATTCCAGGACTTGTTTCCTCAATTTAGACTCCACCTGCTTGGTTGTGTGTACCCGTGGTGGAACAGATTCCAGCTGCCCTGTTGTGGAAGATGCATGTGAGATTTGGATGAGAACTAGAAGGGGGTTAAAGAGTCCACTGTAGGGAACTGCCTGGGCCATGGGAAGAGGAAGACCTGCGGGTGCCTACCTGCCTGTCCTCCCCCACCTGAGCTGGTCTCGCTGGCAGGACTGAACGCCTCTTCTCTCTCCCAGGCGACCGCCATGTCCGTGGACTGCGTGGGGCAGCATGCAGTGCTTTCCGGGTAAGTGAGCTGGTGGAGTTCGTCTGCCACAGTTTCCGGGAGTAAGTTGCAAATCCAGAGGCTTCTGGGAAAGTGGACAGCGCTTCTTTCATGTAAGGATTACAGTCATTGGGTTTAGTTCCACTCTCCTCGTGACCTCAGAGGTCTTCACGGGGATTATTTGCGTCTCTGCCTTAATAGGTGAGCAATAAAATTGCTTTGAGATGTTAGTTCGTCACTGGCAGTTTGGTCTTGAAATCGCCATTTTCTGTTTAACATGTGGACTCTTTGGAAGGCTGCTGTCTGGTACAATCTAACAGGTGGTTGGTTACTAGGTTTGCGAGGATCTGGGTTCCATTGATTATGAGCCCCCCGATGTTTATTCAGTTGGCCTCCTTGGACTTCAGTTTGCTCATGAAGGAATTGGGTTTCATCATGAAGAAATTGAGTTACGTAATCTCTGTAGTGTCTGCTGGTTCAAAATTAAGATTCTGGCAAATGAAGTCCATCCCTGCATTTGCAAACCACCCTAGCATTGTACCAGTGTGATAACATTTAATGGTCAGGGTCCCCCTTTCCGTTTCATGTTTCTCTAGATTGCTACCTCTCAAATTCAGCTATATTTTTGTTAACTTTGTGGTTTGTGGACCCATTTATAAAACAAAGTGTTTTCTATTCATTAATTTATTTTGAAATCATGTTTTAATTTACTTTTAAATAAAACCATTGCAAACATTAAGTAACTCAAAAGGATGTATCATGGAAAGTAATTTTCCCTTTTCCCTTTGAACCCCTCTCTCCAGATACCACTTTCTTGTACCATACTGGATGCGTAGATGAAGAAAATTTGCTGTCTCTTTCTCCCCTCCCTCGATCACTTTTTAAAAAAAGAGCTTTATTGAGATATAATTCACATACCATACAGTTCACTCATTTCAGTGTACAATTCAGTGGTTTTGGTGTATATTATTAATTTCTGAATCAGTTATTTAAAATTTTTTGTTGAAAATTTATTTTTTATTTTTTGGCTGTGCCATGCAGCATGTGGGATCTTAGTTCCCTGACCAGGGGTTGAACTCGCACCCCCAGCTTTGGAAGCACAGAGTCTTAACCACTGGACCACTAGAGAAGTCGCTCCTAATCAGTTTTTAAACCTTTTTTTTTTTCCTTGTTAATGAATGAAATACCTATACATGTTAAAAAAGTCAAGTAGCGTTCAGTTCAGTTCAGTTCAGTCGCTCAGTCGTGTCCGACTATTTGCGACTCCATGAATTGCAGCACGCCAGGCCTCCCTGTCCATCACCAACTCCCGGAGTTTACTCAAACTCATGTCCATCGAGTCAGTGATGCCATCCAGCCATCTCATCCTCTGTCGTCCCCTTCTCCTCCTGCCCCCGATCCCTCCTAGCATCAGGGTCTTTTCCAATGAGTCAACTCTTCGCATGAGGTGGCCAAAGTACTGGAGTTTCAGCTTCAGCATCAGTCCTTCCAATGAACACCCAGGACTGATCTCCTTTAGGATGAACTGGTTGGATCTCCTTGCAGTCCAAGGGACTCTCAAGAGTCTTCTCCAGCACCACAGTTCAAAAGCATCAATTTTTCGGCGCTCAGCTTTCCTCACAGTCCATTTCTCACATCCATACATGACCACTGAAAGTTTATATTGTCAGCAGAATCCCACCTCACCCTTTCCCCACCCCGATCTCTCTCCCCAGAGGCAACCACTTGAGCCTTTTTTTTTAAATTTGAAAAATAATTTATTTCACACTATATTGATAATATATGAAAGTCTATTTCAACCTAATTTTTAAAATAGCTAAAGATTTAAATAGACATTTCATGAAAGAAAAAGTATCAATGGCCAACAAGTACATAAAAGATGATGAATATCTCTAGTCACTGGGAATAATGAGGTTCCACTATACATCCGCTGAAATGTCTAAGATTTGAAAGTCTGAAAATGTTAATGCTGGCAAGCGCATTGACAAAAGTGGAGTGTATTATTGTAATACAGTAATATACAATACTATTACTGTATTATTGTTGATCTCTCTTTTTACATCTGTTAATATTTCCTTTATGTATTTAGGTGCTCCTGTATTCAGTGCATGTATACTTAAAATTGTTACACTTGTTGGGTTGATCCCTTTACCACTGTGTAATGTCCTCTGTCCACTTGAGACTCTTTGTAGCTTTTTGTTTTTTTGGATTGCCTCCAGTTTTCCAAGTGGTGTACTACATATTGGAGAAGGAGATGGCAACCCACTCATGTATTCTTGCCTGGAGAATTCCATGGACAGAGGAGCCTGGCGAGTTACAGTCCATGGGATAACAAAGAGTCGGACATAATTAAGCAGCTAATACACATATACTACATATATTGCTGTATCTTGATTTGTCCATCATAAATGTTCAAATTGACTTCTTATAATAGAAGATGAGTATTGAGTATTTTTATTTAGTCTGTGAGTCCCTTACATATACACCTGGCTTTCCCCCTCCTTGCAATATAGTCATAGAACCATTGTTGTGTTCATTCGTATTTGGGGTTCTTTTTGTCAGTATTATTGTCAAGAGGTCCTATGCTATTTTAATTCTGGACTCTGTATGTGACCTATTTTTTCTCTTTGGAGAAATCCTATCTTTATCCCTAGTGTTATCTTTACCTCTTGTGTGTGTGAAATTTTCACCATGACTGATTGGGTATGTCTTTTTTCATTCATTTTGCTGGGCACTTAGAGGGACCCACCTCCCCTTTCTGACATTATTACCTGCTTTATCTAAACAAAAAGAAAAATAAATAGCATATTCTGGCAGTATGTAGCCATATTAACTGGAGAAGGAAATGGCAACCCACTCCAGTATTCTTGCCTGGAAAACCCCATGGACAGAGGAGCCTTGTGGGTTGCAGTTCCGAGGGTCGAAAAGAGCCGGACACGACTGACATCTAAGCAAGCACAGCAGCCGTATTAAGAGCCCATGAGACGCTTTCAGATGCTGGAACGACTGTGTCTTAAACGTCAGACTTCTCAGTATTGACTGCTGGGAATGTTGTCGTTTGCAGCATTCTAGGAGAAAACGGGGTTGTGTAACTGGACATCATGCAGGTGTTTCTGTTTTGGTGTTCTTAGACATGTATACATCCATGTTGTTTTTCAACATGATCTTAAAGTTTACCATTTCATTTTCTTATATTGAACTTTAAAATATGTATAGTAAGGTATAGCCTTAAGTGTACAGCTAGAATAAATTTACAAATATATGCACTCAACATGACCACCAGAGTAAAATACCGAATAATTTTTAGTAACATGGAGGGCCCTTTCAGTCTGGAAATCTGTGTCTTTTAGTTTGGAGAATATTTCCTGCATTCTTTGATAATTTCCCCATTCTTTCTGGAGCTCCTCTTAGGACTTGTTGGCTATCCTGTATGGATTCTCTTCTGATCTTTTGGTCTTTTTATTTTGCATTTTGAGAGTTTATTTGTTTATTTTTTTTGGCCACACCATACAGCATGTGAGATCTTAGTTCCCCAACCAGCGATTCAAACCCCTGTCCCTTGCATGGGAAGTGCAGAATCTTAACCACTGGACCACAAGTGAAGTCCCGCATTCTCGGAGTTTTTTGTCAAGTTTAACTTCCAACCCTTCTATCAGATTTAAAAATTTCAACTGTTATTTTAATTTCTCAGAGCTCTTGTTCTCTGTTCTTTACCTTGTCTCCTTTTATGTCTCTGAGACTGTTAAGTGTAGGCTTTCTTCTTCCCTCTGTGCTGCCTGTTTCCTTTTTTTATCCTTTTGGTTGTTTTGGTCTCTGTCTCCAGTTTCCTGCCGTGACTGATGCTCATGGGCTCTGTGTTAATATTAAAGAGTCAGTGCAGTCTCTGTGTGATGGTGGAGTTCACTGTCAGGAAAGCAGTTGGAAACCTGGCCCTTTTGTTGGAGAGTGCCAACAAAAGGTGTCTGGACGCTCTCGGTTCACATACTGTTGAAGCCCAGCTTGAAGGACTTTGAGCATTACCTTGCTGGCATGTGAGAAGAGCACAATTGTGCAGTAGTTTGAGCTTTCTTTGGCATTGCCCTTCTTTGGGATTGAAATGAAAACTGACCTTTTCCAGTCCTTTGGCCACTGCTGAGTTTTCTAAATTTGCTGGCATATAGAGTGCAGCACTTGAACACCATCATCTTTAAGGATTTTAAATAGCTCAGCTGGACATCATCTTCAGGGCTTCATTTTGTTGTTTGCTTGCTTTTGTTCTTTCTTGGGCTGGTCATTTCCCCATCACCATCACTGTCTGGAGACTGAAAGCCACATGTGGTGAGTGCTGAACAGGGAAGGAGGCCTGAGGGTCCCATCCCCGCTTCCTGCCTGTTCTGGGCGCAGCACCTCACGCCCACCCCTCCCGTCCCAGCCCCGGCTCCTGTGCAGTAGTTTCTCTCCCCTCCAGCCCCTGCCAGCTTGGATTCCGCAGTGTGAATCACCTCGCCCTACAGGCCTTGGGTGCTGGCTGCCTTTCCTCTAGATCACTTACCATTTTTCTGCCTGCTTTCCATTTTTTCCTCTCTCATTTTTTGTGTCTTTCTGGATTTCTGTCTTTTATATTTTCACCCTTACTCTAGTGGATCTTCAGTGGGGGAATGAAGACGGCCAGTATGTTCAGTCAGGCATGTTTATCTGGAAGTACCCACCTTCTGCTATTCTGCATTTTCTCCATGCTGTCTCTGGGTTCTCCTGTTGATACCTGCATCATTTGTATAGTGTCGGGCCTTTGCCCTGTTTTTGTTCTAATGAGAAGATGCTGGCCTGCCTGCCATACGATCAGGTGATTCCTTAGGAAGAGGTCAGAGGTTCTAGGCCTTTGTTCTATACCAGCTTTCTCAGAAGCCCCACAGACTCTCTGAATTTTTGTCTTAACCTGTGCTTTCCTTCTCTCTTAACCTTTCCCTCCTAGGGCTCCTGCTAGAGTTCAATCTGCCACTTTTACTTTGCAATTCCTGTCTCTTCTGAGCAGGGACAGTTCATCTTTGTCTTCATTGTCGAGCCCACCTGTCCTCGCTGATACCCTTGACCCTCAGAGCACTCCCCAGCAATGAGCTGCTGATGGCTGCTGAGAGGTTGATCCACCCACCAAAGATTTTTTCCTTGGAAGGAAAATAGGTGAACAAATCTTCTTTTTGATTGGCACTGTGAACATTATTGGCACTTAATATGATTATTGTTTTCATCATTCTTTTATTTTTTGGTTGCTCTTCCCCCTTCCAATAGTGCTAATTTAGTTCCTGTCACCTGGTCGTCAACTTGCATGGGAATCTGAGGTTTTCTATAGAATGTTTGGCTAAGTGATAAGCGATGTGTTTGGTTTTACCCACACTTACTGAATGCAAAGCACTGTGCCTATTGGCGAGGGAATATGAAGGTATTCAAGACGTGGTCCATACCCCAAAATGTTCAGCTGCTTTGGGACAAGAGCCTTTACAAGAGCAGTTCTGCTATGGAGATAGGTGCTGTAGTCGAAATGCAGACTGCATAGTGGGGGTCTTGTGGAATCAGCTATGATCCTAGCTGGGGGAATGGGAACGCCTGAGGAGCTGAATCTGGTGGAGGAGGTCAGGATTCCGGGGATACAGGAGGGAGGACCATCTCGAGAGGCAGACCTTGCAGGGGTACAGCAGCCATGAGTTACTCTGGTCACTTGTATGCCTTTCAGAGTCAATAAACATCATGTGCATCTGGGGATTTTTTTTGCACACTGTATGTCATTCCAAATGTGCTTTTCTATCTTCATGCAAATGCTGTTCTGTTGTTAAAATGTTGATGTTGTTTTCCTAGCCGCCGATTCCTATACATCGTCAATCTAGATGCCCCCTTCGAAGGTCACCGGAAGATCTCACGCCAGAGCAAGTGGGACATTGGAGCTGTGCAGTGGAATCCTCATGACAGCTTCGCACACTATTTTGCAGCCTCGGTGAGCTCATTTAACGAGTACTGGAAAAGGCTTTTAAATGTGAGATCTGGGCTGGTAGCTCTGTGTTCTAGTAGAGAAGAGAATGCAGTCCTCCTTTCTCAAATGGGAAAGAGGTGTGCATGCTTCTTAAAGGAAGATGGAAGCAAATTACAGATTTAAGTTATGTATGAAAAGAATCCAGGGACCCATCAGTATTTCTAAGGATCGAATCCAGATTTGGAAGGGCAAGCAGCTAGATACCTCCATGTCTGTTTATGATAAGAACCTGTTTTCATTTCAGGAGTGTAACTAGCCAGGGATTCAGAAAGACCTTCTAAGGAGGGACCTGGTGAGCTTGTCTGGGGGGGATTGTTGTTGCTTTCAGAGCTATCAGAAGATTCCAGGTACCTTTCCACTCAAAGGAAGGGATCCTTTTCTTGACTAGGATTTGTTAGATTTGTTTAACCCCCTGAAATTTTATGTACCTATTTATATGTGAATTCTTCCAGGGAAAAGATGCATACATTTTATTAGATTTTCCAAGGGATTCCAGACTCAAAAAAGACCTGGGCTTAGATCATTTCTAGTATCCCTGGCCAGATTTTTATTAGGATTTGTTCTCCTAGGACAATTAGAGATCTAAACCTCTGGCTTCTTTTGCACTGGGCAGGGAGGGCAGTATTTGAAGGAGTCCTCATCCTCCAGGGAATGTGACCATTCGCTGTGCCGTCTGGGTCTGTTCTTCGGGAATGACAGTCAGTGAGAGGAAAGCATCTTACAAAAGAAAGAAGAGCACTGTTGTCAGCTTTAGAAGGAACAAAAAGCTGCTCTTCCCTGTCGTTTCCAAAATAGAATCTGACTGACTGTCTTTAACGAGGGACAACGACTAGATTGGCACTGTTCCAGGGACTGTTGAAGGGTCAGGCTGGATCATTCTTCATAGCAGGGTCTGTCTTGGGCTTTGCAGGAAACCAGTAGCATCCCTGGCCCCTCCCCCACTAGATCTCAGTAGCATCCCCCCACCCCCATCGCGACAACCACAAATGTGTCTGGACATTGTCAGGTGTCCCCTGGGAAGCAAAATCTCTCCTGATTGGGGACCACAGATTTAGGCTGAGCCCTTAGTAGTCGACCCAAGTGGACTAACACTGCTTGTGTTTAGGAGGGGCAAGACAGAGCCTTGTTGATTTTTTTCAGACAGTCACTTAAGTGAACAGTTCAGTGTCCTTCACTACATTCACTGTGTTATGTAGTCACCACCTCTATCTAATTCCCAAACATTTCCAATGCTCCACAGGAAACCCCACCACGAGTAAGCAGTTATTCCCTCCACCCACAGCCCCTGCTGACCTCTCTGTGTTCTGTCTCTGGGTTTAGCTCTCCTGGACATTTTATATAGATGCAGTTAAACAATACATGACCTTTTGTGTCTGGCTTCTTTGTCCATGTTGTAGCATGTGTCAAGACTTTTTCCCTTTTTTATGGCTGAATAATATTCCTTCATATGGATACATCACGTATTGTCTGTTCATCCACCAGTGGACCTTTGGTCTGGCTATAAGCAGTAGCGCTGATAAGCACATGTGTGTATGTGTACTTTTTTGAGTATTCATTTTCACTTCTTTTGGTATATTCCTAGGAGTAATGGGAGGGCCACTTGGTAAGTCTGTGTTTACTTTTTGTGGAACCATCAATCTGTTTTCTACAATGGCTGGACTGTTTTGCAGTCCTGTCAGCACTGCACAAGGATTCCAGTTTCTCCAGAGCCTCACCAAAATGTGTTATTTCCTGTTTTTGTAATTTAAAAATTCTAGTCATCTTAGTAGGTGTCACACCAGTGGTACCTTACCATGGTTTTGATTTGCATTTCCCTCATGACTAATGACTTTGAACATATTTTTGTGTGTTGGCTGGCCATTTTCATGTCATGTTTCGGAGATTTGTCTATTCAGTTCCTTTGCCGGTTTTTGAATTGGGTTTTTTGTATTTTTTTGATATTTAGTTGTAAGACTATAGACCCTTATCAGTGATCAGATCTGCAGGTATATTCTCCAGTTCTATAGATTGTCTTTTTAATTCCTTGATAATGTTTGTGACATTTCATTTTGATGAAGTTCACTTTTACTCATTTTTTTCCTTTCCTTCATTGCTTTTGGTTGGAAGGCAAACAGTTACAGGAGAAAGTGCTTTGGAATTAGGAAATCTGAGGTCAGGTCCCAGTTTTAATGCTCCCTGTTTTATCTTGAGCACCCACCCAACTTTTGGAGTTGTAGTTGCCTCATCTGTGATGTGGGTGATGACATCCAGTGTGCAGTGTGATAAGAAAAAGCAGAGGGCAGGTTTCTTAAAGTTTCTGTTCTGTAAACTGGCCCTAGCAGACCCTGGAAATGGCAGGGAATGTTATTATAAGATCAAGAAGTTCTTTCTTTTCACTCCTATTCTCACTGGAAGCATTTTGAATTCTAACCTTTTGACAGGAACCTTACCTATTTAGAATTGGAAACGGGCATGTCTGGGTAAAAATCTCAGAGCTTTGTACAAATGTCTCTGAGCTAAAATGAAAACCAGTCTTCAGAAATGTTTAAATAGACTACTAATAGTACTAATAGTAGTTAGTGTATTAGTAATCTTTATCCACTGTCAGTGTGTTTCATGAACTCATGATATTTGGGGAGCATTTGCTGGCCTGTTGTTTCTTTCAGTGAAATGTAGTTTGATGGAAGCTTTTCCCCTTGTTTCCTTCCAGAGCAACCAAAGGGTCGACCTGTACAAGTGGAAAGACGGCAGCGGGGAGGTCAGCACGACCCTGCACGGCCACACTCGCGTCGTCAGGTAAGCACCGCCCTCCGCTGCTCCGGCCTCTGTTGTTTGGTCCCGTCCCGGGAAATGAAGCAGAGCCACTGTGCCCCTCCGGGCTGACCCTCTGGGTTTGCGTTGACCCTGGGTGTCTGCTGAGTCCTTAGCAGTCCTGAAGTTTTGGCGTTCATGGTGAGGAACAGCTGGAATTTAGGAACCCGCATCCCTGTAGCTATTAACCCTGGTCCCAGGAGATACCTAGATGGGTACAGCCTGCCCCAGAGTGAAGGGTTAGCGCGCCTTTGCTGCAGGAGGAGATGAAGCTGTGTCTGAGGAATCCCCGGGGCTCACGTCAGCGGTGGCCAGGAGCACCAAGACCTCAGGGCCCAGCCCCTGGCTCTGTGTCTGGCCTCCGTGGGCACCTCGTGGAGCGCCTGCCTCACGGGCCATTACCCAGATGTGCAGTTTCTTCTCCCTGAGGGCCTTCCGGCTGGCTTCCGGGTCACTGTCTCTGGGTGGGGACAGTTTGTTGCAGGAAGTAGCAGCAGGAAGCGGTGGAGGTGACGTGGGAGGTGGTGGGAAAGGCCAGACCCCAGCCGGTGTTAACTCTGTGTGTAGTTGAGTGCCTTCCGAGGAGGGCGGATGTTGGTAGGGGGCGCCAGAGGCCTCTTGCCCTCCTCGGAAGCTGTGTGGCAACATGGCACTTTGCCACTGCCTTGAAGATGTTGGGTTTGCTCAGGGCCCCTGTGGTTCAGTCTGACTAAAATGCAGTAAGTAAAAAACTCCATGGTTTTTTCCCCCTTTGTTTTGTCTTATGTGCACACACGTGTGTATGTGTGCGCTTGTGTGTGTGCGTGTTTTAAGTTGAAGTGCTCCATTTCTTTTGGGGGAGCAGGTGGTAACCAGGGAAGGACCTGAAAGTCCCCTTCAGAGCAGTTAAGTCTTCTTTCCCAAGGAACTTGGGAGATACCAGCCTAAATACCCAGATACTCAGCCTCAACCGTGTTCAGGGGCCCCTTCAGGGTGACTTTCTGAAGCCACCAGAAGTGAACTCTGGTCGTGCTCTGGAACTGAACTCAATGCTTTCTCGTCACTGCTGCCTTCTTTCTTCCTTGTGTTTCCAGTGACTTGGACTGGGCGCTGTTTGAGCCTGATCTCCTGGTCACCAGCTCTGTGGACACCTACATCTACATCTGGGATATCAAGTAAGAATGGTGGAAGGGCATAACCGCTCAGCTGCTACGGGACCTCGGCTTTAGAGGTCGGGGGTCTTAGTTTGGTTCCCCCTCGCTGCAGACCCTGAGACAGGGAGACCCTGCAGGTGCCTTGTTTAGGAGGGGACAGAACTGCTAGGGGGGCGGGAAGGAGAGAGAGGCTCAGGAGGGTGAGCGAGAGGGCGCGTGGTCCTCCTGAGGACTAGGCTCCACCAGGGACGCTGGGTGCCGTTGCCCCCCTCCCTCCCCAGAGGAGTCCCATCCGCGGGGCCGAGGAAGCGGGCTGTCGGTCCCTGGCTGAAGGCTGTCCACAGGGGCCTGGTTCCCTGGCAGTTCAGGCCCATCACAGAGGTTTGCAAAACGGGCTCCAGCAGCCTGAGAAAATCCTGTTGGCAAAGAAACCCAGGTTCTGGCAATGGGAAGGCAGGCTGGAGTTTGCTGAAGTGGCAGGTGATGGTGGGGGCATTTCGCTGGGCACACACACGGGTGCTGCAGCAGGCAATGCCCCCAGACAGCTGCTCAGCTCTTGGTGCCGCTTCAGTGCCCCCCGGAAAGGGGGCCGAGAACCAGCTCGTAGGCCAGCTGTCCATGGAGCTAAGCGAGGAGGAGCGCCCAGCCTCAGAGTCTGTGCATCCTGAGTTCTTAATACACAGCTGTTCCTCTCTCTCTTTGCAGAGCAGGTTCCCTTCCCCGTAACTCCTAGCTAGGTGCTGCGTGGCCTGGGGGGTTCCCAGGACAGGACACCCTCTCCCCCACCACCATCCCAAACGGCAGTGATTTTGTGACACTTTACAGTGAAAGGTGAACTGTAGGCAGAGGACAGGCCAGGTGTTGAGGTTTGCTAGAGCAGACAGGCCAGCGGGAGGGATTCCCAGGGAGTAAAGGTGCGCATGGCTGACTTCACCAGCATCCCATGCAGGTCCGTGCCTCCAAGGTGATGGGTCTAAAGGCAGCGCCCGAAGAGGGAGAAGGAGCAGAAAACCCAGGGGAAGCGGACGAAGAGGGGCTCTCAGCAAACGAGCAGTCCCCCAGGAGCTCTGGGGCAGGATCCCTCATTTATATGAAGCAGTCGGTTTCATAGTTTAAAGACGGAAAGACACTGAACCGATTTGCCTTCTTGATAAGCCAGGGCTGCAGCTTTGCCTTGTCTGGTCCTCCCAGCCCTATGCGGCTGCCCACTGACCATTGGCAGTGAACCATTGACCATTTGAGTCTCCCACTGTATCCAGGAGTAGTTGTTTTTTTTTAAAACTGTGGTAAAAAAAAAACACCACAAAATGAAACTTACTATCTTAATCGTTTTTAACTGTGCATATCGGTTGTGTCAAGTATATTCACACTGTTGTGCAACAAAGCTCCAGAACTTTTTCATCCTGCAAAACTGAAAATCTGTACCCATCAAACAGCCCCCAGTTCCTACTCCTTCAGCCCCTGGCAGCCACCACTGTACTTTTTGTGGGTTTGACTGGTCCAGGTCCCATGTGTAAGTGGAATCATATAGTGTTCATCCTTTTGTGACTGACTTATTTCACTTAATGTAATGTCCTCCAGCTGCAGCCGTGTGGTAGCATGTGACAGGATTTTCTTCCTCGGTTTTTTCTTTGTCCCTTCGGTGCAGCATGTGGGATCTTAGTTCTCTGACCAGGGATCGAACCCATGCCCCCTGCATTGGAAGGCAGAGTCTCAACCACTGGACCATTGGAGAAGCCCCCCTTTGCTTCCTTGTTAAGGCCTGGAGACAATTCATTGTCTGAATAGGCCATAGTTGTTCTATCTGTTCATCAGCAGGGTACACTTGAGTGGTTTCCACCTCTGGGCTGTTGGGAACATCCAGAGTTTTTCACCCCATCCTGGCCGTGCTGTTGGAAGTTTCTTGCACAGTTGCGTCTCCACAACTGTCCCCTTGTTCTGTAGGAGAAATGACCCAGGAACGGGCCTTTTGGCTCCCTGCACGTCCACCTCAGAGCCACTTAGGCCGCACTGTTATTGAATACTATAATTTGTTCTCTGTGGAGACAGCTATATGATTTGAAATTCAGATTCTGCCTCAGTTGAGGAGGTTGAGAAAGTTCATCTCCCTGGAGGGAGACAGGCTTCTCTTTACACCACTTATTACGGTCCTCGCATCCCCAGTGAAGCCCCAGCACCCCCCAAAAGGACAGTGAAGAAACGCAGGCAGAGGGAGCGAGGCCCCAGGCGGGTGGTGGCGGGTAGACGGGCGTTTGACTTCTGACTCTCGCGTTTCAGGGACACACGGAAGCCCACTGTCGCGCTGTCTGCTGTAGGTGAGTGGCCGCCCACCCCCCTCCCGGCGGCCTTCATCCCCTCCTCCCTCCGCTCCTACCCGAGCCCTGTGCCCCGCGCTCCGTCCCCGCTGCCTGGGCCTTGACCCCGCCGCTCTCAGCAGAACTTCTGAGAGTCAGGACTGTAGAATGTGGTCAGGAGCTTATGTCAGAGTTCAAGGGCAGGAACCACATGCTTTTCAAGCTATTTATTGCGGAAACTTTCAAAAGTGTGTAAAACAAGAAGAGAATGAGTTGCCTTGTGTTCGTCATCCCGCTTAAACAACTGTCAGCGTTCAGACAGTCTTCTGTCATCTTTCACCTCCACCCCCATCCCCTTTGGGATTATTTTTGAAGCAAATCCCAGGTGTCATATCATTTCATCAACAAATATTTCAGTGTTTTTTACAAGAGAGGACTCCTTTAAAAAAACACATAACCACAATACTATTAGCATACCTAAAAATATTTACAGTAGTTCTTTAATATCCTTAAGTATTTAAGCTGTATGTAAATTTTCTCAGTAGTTTCAGTAGATGTTGTTTGGTTTTCTGTTCTCCTTTTACAAAATTTTTGAATCAGAACCCAAATAAAGCTGGTGTTGGTAAAGTGGTTGATATATTTCTCATCTCTTTCAGTTGGTATTTTCTTCTCCCTTCCCCTTCTTTTGGTTTGTTTTTCCTTTCCTGCAGTTTCTTTATTGAGGAAACCAGGTGGTTTGTCCTGTGGTTTCCGCACAGTCTAGGTTATGTTGATTGTGTCCCGACAGTATCGTTTAATATGGACATGCTGAAACTTTGAAGTTGCCTTCTGATCTCCCCAGTTTCCATCACCTTTTTGGAGTTGACTGCTCTTGCAGTTCTGCACTGGGTTTGTTACAGAAGATTCTCACCACTTCCTGAGAGTTGAACTTGGGCATAGAAGTGTTTTACCTTGCCCCCCATGATGAAGCCCAGTTATCAGGATTCTATTCTGATGTCCTTGATCAAAACAGATCATATCATCTGTCTCTTAAATCCTCCTTGTTTTGAATTTTCTTGGATCATTTGAATTTACATTTGATGTTTGCTCCAAAATTATTGCATTCTTCTTTTTTTTTTTTCCCTACACCCCCACACCTCATCATTTGAAGGCATTAAACATCACGAATGGATTAAGCAGTTGGTTTCTTCACTCGTGAGGTTAGGGACCACGTTGTTCAGGGCTGCAGACCAGGGTCAACCTAAGTCCCTGCCTGGAGGAGATGCTCTGTGAGGGTTTGTTCTATGGATATAGGACTCAAGCACCTGTGCCTCTGTGCTTAACGGTTTAATTGACCTGGCTCCCACCCCCGTGTAGATACTTCTGATCTGAGGCGTATAATGACCCACAGACGTGGTGGCAGAGGATATCCAGCTGAAAGAAAGTACCAGGGGTCTGTGAATGTTCAGTCACCCATCCTTGAATTCGTTAGTTCTGCTGACAGATCTGAGTTAATTGGATTGTGGAGGACCTCTAAAAAGGAAGATTGTTCTTTTCTGAGTCCTTCTTAAGAAGCAGAGGTAGGAGACGTCTTCCCTTCCTGTACCTCAGTGAGGCTCCTCGGTGGTGGCGGGGCTGCCCTGGGGGGAAAGAGGCTAAGGCCTCTTGTGGACCTTTACCCAAAGCCGCTCTGGCTAACCTTCCCTCAGAGCTGGAGCCGGAGGCTGCCGCTCCCTGCCGTCTGTGGTCCCCGTCTCTCTGTGAGTGAATTGTTCCTGCCACGGGGCGGGAAGTCCGTAAGGGCACATCTGTGTGTCCTCCAGAGCCTTCTCTGATTCTGAGAGCTCCGGGGCCTTCATTTGATCTTGATGTCATGATCCTACAGGTTGAATTAGGAGGTTCTCAGAACCCTTTGGGAGGCTTCATGTTCTGATAGACCACCTACTCGGAAAGGTATATTTTCTTGAAACTTGTTTTTATTTTTTTTTCTTTTTAAAAAAAATTTTTCTTCTTTCTTTTCTTCCAGTTTTACTGAGATATAGTTGACACACAGCAGTGTATAAGTTTAAGGTGTCCAGCATAATGATTTGACTTACAAAATAACGATCACAATAAATTTAATGCCCATTCATCATCTCATATAGGCACAACATTAGAGAAATAGAAAAATATTTTTTTCCTTGTGCCTTCAAACTCTTTGGTAACTCTGTCACACAGAAATGGAGCAGTCTTTTCTTGTACTTCCTCCTCTAGCTGATACGCTTTCTTGCGAAGAAACTGGGTTTCCTGAGTAATATACCACCTTCCTCCAATTTTAGGGGTGTCTACCATTCATTCTTAGGTGACTTAAGGTACCCTGTGTCTCAGGGAAAAAACACAACAAACAAAGAAGCAAACCAACAAATACTCTCACCAAAGCCAAGCAAGGCAAAAGTCTTGGCCTTACTCTATTTCCTGTTGGGTCCCAAGCCCTTGCTTTCCCTCTCATCCTTTCCAAATTCTTGGGTCAGGTTGCCCTCCAAAGCCCTGGATCCACTGTGGTGTCCCCAAGTGATAAACACCCACCCAAAGAGAGGGTGTCAAAGCAGAAATGTCGTGTGTTGTCTGAGCAACAAGAAGAGGTGGAAAGAGTCATCATGTTGTTCTGGTCTAACGTAATTAACGTGATTATTTTAAGAGTCAGCTAGAAGTGCTGCTATGCCCCAGGTTTCCACCTGTCTCAGCCGCTCTGGCATCTTCCAGTGCCAGTACGCCCCCTCGCTTAAGTAGCTCTTTTGTCATTATTGTTCCCTCCGTGTATTGGCAGAGGACTGAGTTCCTGTCCCCACGCAGAGCCGCGTGTAATTGCTGATGCGGAGACAGGAGAAGGGGTGGAGAGCACGTAACTTTCTGAGGGCAGAATTGGTTAACACTGGGGCTCAGTCTTCAGCTGAGCTTCAGCTGGAGGCTGTGTTTTTCCAAGACTGCCCCTCCTCCCAAAACAAAAGCAGAGTGGGAAGGTGCAGGCTTTGATCTGAGGCTCATGATCGCAAGCTTGGTGTTGGAGAGGATGAAGGGTGGGTTGTGCTATGAGTCAGTTACCATCCCACAGAGCTGGGCTGGACTGCTTAAGCAGCTACATTTCCTGGGCTTCCCTGGTGGTTCAGTGGCAAAGAATCTGCCTGCCAACCCAGGAGACATGGGTTTGATCCCTGGTCTGCGAAGATCCTGTATGTCATGGAGCACCTAAGGCTTTGCACTGCAGCTATTCAGCCTGTGCTCTAGGGCCCAGGAGTCACAACTTCTGAGCCCGTGTACTACAACTACGGGGCCTGGGCGTCCCACCGCCTGCGCTCTGCCGTAAGAGAAGACTCTGCCCCGAGAAGCCCATGCAGCAACGGAGACCCAAGCTTTGTGCTAAGTCGCTTCAGTTGTGTCTGACTCTCTTCAACCTTATGGACCATAACCCTCCAGGCTCCTCTGTCCGTGGGATTCTCCAGGCAAGAAAATTGGATTGGGTTGCCATTTCCTCCTCCAGGGGACCTCCTGACCCAGGGATTGAACCCACGTCTCTTAGGTCTCCTGCACTGGGAGGCAGGTTCTTTACCACTAGTGACACCTGGGAAGCCCCTAGCATAGCCGAAAATAAAAATAAGTAAAATTTAAAAATAAATATATAAAAGTAAGTTTAAAAAAAAGGAACTACATTTCCCTATTGATTCTACTCAGGTAGCCTGAAGTTTTTTTTTTTTCCCCTAGTGAGATTATTTCCTCAATTAGGTGACTTTGATCCTGTTCCCATGTGCTAATTCATTTATTTTTTTGGCTTCATTTTCTCTCTCATTGTGGAGCTGATGCAGTCATAGAAGCTTGAAAAGTTCTGTTCTTATTCATCCGGAACTCATTATCCAGCTCCCCTGGATAAGCTCCTTTGTTCTGAAGGTGTTGAGGGCAACAGCTTTCTTCCCCTGATTTTGCTTTGCAGCGGGTGCCTCACAGGTCAAATGGAATAAGAAAAACGCTAATTGCCTTGCCACCAGTCATGACGGGGATGTACGGATATGGGACAAGCGGGTAAGTGATCTCTTTTTCCCCCAGGAGGGTATGAAGAGGATGTTGGGAGCAGCAGGACTTATCTTGAGAGTCCAGGGTACTTTGGGCAGCATAGTTAATTGCCATGTTAAGATCCTAGTACCAAATGACATTTGCTGCCCGACCAAATTGGTGTTGAAGAATGTAGGGGAGTGAGGCATTGTGATCACAGGTTAAGAAAATGAACTTGGCCTGACCTAAGCCACAGTGCCATTTTGCTACCTCCTGATTATATCAGGCGAACCACAAACTTTTCCAAACCTCAGTTTCCTTATCTTCGGAATAAAAGTGGTAATAGTGGGTGTATCACTGAGGAGGTCAAGCCTGGGGAGCCAGACCCTGTTCTAGAATGGTCATCGTGCTTCTTATCCCTGCCCCAGGTTGCAGAGGGAAAATTCATTGTTGTAGAACACACACCATCCTGATCTGAGTCACTGGGGCGGGCACTCAGTATGCTCAAATCTTCCCTTAGGAGTCTAGCTGTTGGGACTTCCCTGGAAGTCCAGTGGTTAACACTCTGCACTTCCACTGCAGGGGACACAGGTTCAATCCCTGGTCAGGGAACTAAGACCCCACATGGCTACGGTGGTGTGGGCAAAAATTAAAAAAGAGGTCTAGCTGTCCTGTCAGTCTCAAAAGAGAGCCTACAGATCGTATAATCTCCCTGCAGCAGCTCACAGTTCTGGGAGGCATGAAAGAGGTGTAGGGCTCTGGGTGTCTGCTGTCATGGCAAGCCTGTCATGCTGGCATCAGGGAGAGGGTCTCTTGCCTGCGTAACTGCCAGATGGTGGGGTAAAAATGCAGAGGGCAGTCGACTTACACATGATCTGGAATGTAGATTCTGCTTCCTGCTCTGTGAAATGGAAGGCTAGAGCTCCTGCCTTTGTGGGGAGGACCGACTGTCAGTTTTCCCGAAATTTGTTCTGTGGCTGTCCCAGCTGGGAATCTGAGTGTCCAGTCTCAACGTTGCTTTTTGCTGCTCTGCTCCCTTCCTGTGCCAGCAGGGAATAAAGTCAGATGGGTGGGAGAGGAGACGGGAGTGAAGCAGAGACGGGGAGGCTGCGGGCTTGGGTGCCAGGACTTGGTGGGGAGGTGGTGTGCTGGTCAAAGCCCCTGCCTTGGATGGCTCTTCGTTGACGAGGTGATTTTATAAGGAGAAGGATGGTGCATCTTCTGTATGTTGCTTTTTTATCTGTCTCTTTGCTTCCGTCTGGAAATAGCCATGCTTCATCCCTCTTTATTTCTTCATTGGCAGTTGGTTTTATACATGTTTGTCGCTGGCATAGCATTTAAGGGCCTCCCCAGTGGCTCAGTGGTAGTCTGCCTGCAGTGCTGGAGATGCAGGTTCGATCCCTGGGTCAGGAAGATCCCCGGGAGGCAAATGCAACCCACTCCAGTATTTTTACCTGGGAAATCTCCTGGATAGAGGAGCCTGGCTACAGTCCACGGGGTCGCAAAGAGTCAGATATGACTTAGCGACTGAACAACAACAACAGAAATAGCATTTGAATATAAAAAATGGTTTAAATAAAATGTTTGATTAATTTGTAGTACATGCATATTTATTTGCCTTAAACTGTTTTCAGAACCATAGGCAAAATAAACAATGTGGTATTTAGCCATGAATCCAGGACATGTTTTCCAAAACAGTGGCTGTGTTCCTTATCTTGTAAAAGTACACTGCTAAGCTGTTCCTTTATAGGCTTCTCTTTGGTCCACTCATAACCCTGACTTCCCTCAGCAAGTCTGTTATCTATTTTGTTTTAAGAGATTTAGCTTTTTTTTTTTTTTTTTTTTGGCTATTAATACTCAGGATTTCTGTTCATATGGATTGTAAAACTTGTTTGTTATAATTTCACTTCTATGGCACTTTTCTTTCTTTTTTTTTTTTCTGGCACTTTTCTAGTACCAAGCAGGATGTTGGCAGCAAGCATCACAGGGTTTTAAATGTGCAGTATCAGTGGTGATGTTGGATTTTCACTCAAGACTCATGAATACTTAGTAACACTGCTGTTTCTTAGTGTTTATTATGTGCAGGCATTGTTCTAAGAACTTTATGTGTATTGATTCATTTCTCTTTGCCTTTAAAGTGGTTACAATTATTACCCCCATTCTCCAGCTGAGTAAATTGACGCACAGTTTGTTGCCAAGATTTAAACTCAGGGAGGCTGGTTCTGGAGATTGTACTCTTAACCTTATAGACTATTGCTGATGACAGAAAGTAATACAAAAGAGAACATAAAAATCATTCATAGTCCTATTACCTAGAGTCAAATACTAACGTTTTGGTATTTTCTTTTCTTATGCTTTTTTAAAAACATGGTTTATCATATCTTACACATAGTTATGCATACTTTTTTCATTTAACATTAAAATAAATTCATTTCCTCTATTATAATAAGCTCTTTCTAAGTATAACTTTAGTGGCTACATGACATTGTATCAGATATCTGTACAATAATTGATTCTAACGTTTACTTAATCCCCACTTATCATTCATTACGTTCCTGGTTTCCTAGGTGTTCCATATAGCACCAAGATGAACATCTTTTTTGCCTAAAACTTTCTGTGAATTTAGAATAGTCCCTTAAGAAAGGAAAAATTTTAAGCATCTTGATAAAAATTGTCAAATTTGTTTTTCCCAGAAAAGATTATACTATTTCATACGTATACCAACAGTGACAAATGCTGCCTCACTACGTTGAATATCATTTCCAAGTATCTTCTAATTTGATTGCTTAAAAAAATCTTTTATGTTTTAATGTATATTTCTGAGGTTTCCTTCTGAATTTGTTTTGAATGTACTTGGTAATCACATATTGTTTTCTTTTGTGATGTGTACTCATTCTCTTTAGGAGTCTTAGAGCTTGATCACTTTAAGCTTGGTGGTTTTCAGATAGAGTTTATTCTCTATGACAAGCTAGTGGTTACCACTGGGAGCGGGAAGGAGAGGAGGGGCAATTTAGGGGCAGGAATTAAGAGGTACAAACTATTATGTATAAAATAAGCTATAATACTGTGTTATTGTGCAACATGGGAAATATAATGAATATTTTATAATAGCTGAAAATGGACTATACTCTTTAAAAGTTGTGAATCACTATATTGTATACCTGTAACGTACAATATTGTACAACAACTATACTTCAATTAAAAAAAAAAGGTTGATGGTGTTACCCCAGGATGGGGGTGGGTCTGTTTGGACGTCACAGTCTGCTCTGTGGGAGATTGTGAGAAGGGGAGCCAGAATCTCAGACCCTGCCACCGCAGGGGCGACACACCCCCTTCCTTCTTTAAGTCCATGCCTGGGCCCCGAGCAGAAGATGATTAGACTCACAGGCCGGTGTTCTGAGCATGTGCGAGGGAGAGCTGGCAAAGTCTTATTGTTTCGTTTGTTTTAGACAAAGCAAAATGGAGTTTAAGAACAGAGACGGCCTCTGAGGATTGTTTTTTTTTTTTTGGCTGTGCTGCGCTGCATGTGGGATCTTAGTTCCCCGACCAGGGTTTGAACCCCTCCTCCCTGCCGTGGAGGCGTGGAGCCCTAACCACTGGACCAGCAGGGAGTTCCTCTGGGAGTATCTTTGTATCCCCACCCAGGAGACCGGGATAGGCTGTGTCCAGCTCAGGTGGACGCGCTGAGTCCTCTGTAAAGTGCCGACTCTGGTTGGTGGTCCTGTTGCAGAAACCCAGCACGGCAGTGGAGTACCTCGCGGCACACCTCTCTAAGATCCACGGCCTGGACTGGCACCCGGACAGCGAGCACATCCTTGCTACCTCCAGCCAAGACAACTCCGTCAAGGTGAGCGGCGCCCCTGGGGCAGGGTGGGGAGCGTGTTTGGGGGCATCAGGGGTTTGCGAGCATTGCCTTCAGAAGGAAAGCTGCAGCCAGTTAGTATGACGTGTGTTTCAGGGGCACCTGTTCTTCCCGGGGAGCTGGGCAGGTCCTCTGGTGATGTGGACCAGTGGAGTGATGTAGTAGCACATATCTGACTGGGTGCCTCTGTTTGTTTGGAGGCTCTTCTTTCTGTTTGTGAAAGGAAGTCAGAGACAAAAACATTTAGAAAGGACAAGACGTTTACTCGCCAAGATGTGGCCAGGAAGTCCCATTTCTGAAGGACTGGCTCATCAAAATAACACAATTGTTACATCAAAATAACAGATACCCAAGTAAAGGAGAAAAACCCACACGGTCATTAAAGTTACCAAGTTGCCCATTAGTCTGGGTGGAAAAACAGCAGTTTTCACACATGATTATCATATCTGCAAAAGCTAAGATGTTTTTGGTCATCCACATTGCACAAGTCAGGGACGGAGTTATTTTATTAGAAATTCTCTAACTAAGGGGTCCCCAGCCTCTGGGATCTAATGCCTGATGATTTGAGGTGGAGCTAATGTAATAATAATAGATATAAAGTGCACAACAAATATAATACACTTGAATCATTTCAAAACTACCACCTCCAGGTCCCTGGAAAAATTGTCTTCCACGAAACTGGTCCCTGGTGCCAAAAAGGTTGGGACTGCTACTCTAACTTGCAGGAAATGCTCAAGGACTTACATATGTCAATGAGCCTATTATTCTTGGTTTCTCTCAGAGTGCAGCGTTTCTTGTTTGTTCTCTGACTTTGGAATGTGATATGCACCCTTGTTTGAAAGGATGCACGGTATGGAGTTTCTCCTTGTGGTCAGGTCTCTGCCTGGAAGGACAAAGATTTGACCGCAGATGTTTGCTTAGCAATTTTGTGATTCGCTTCAGCAATGTAATTCTTTACTTTATTTACACAGGCATGCACAACTTTTTGGTATGGTTAGCAAAGCTAGAATCATACACTCAGCCTTAAAAGTTAACTTCCGTCTGGAGGTTTGTAAATCCCCTGGAGTTGTAATTTACATTTATGTGCCCAGAGTAGTTTTTTTCTTTGTTTGTTTTGGGCTTAAGTTTTTGTCCCCATAACCTGATCGGCTTGTTTCCCAAGTTCAGGAACCAGAAACCATCTGATTCAACTCCTCCTCTTTATTTGAGGTCTCCAAATTTGTCAGTATTCACTGGCAGCTTTATTACTCTTGAGGCCGGGATGCCATAGGTAATAAAGCAGATAACAGGCCACTTTCCACGTGTGAAACACAGTCCTTATTCCTTACTAGTGGGCTTGTTATTGTTCAGTCACTCAGTTGTGTCCAACCAACTCTTTGCGACCCCATGGACTACCGCATGCCAGGCTTCCCTGTCCTTCACTATCTCCTGGAGTTTGCTCAAACTCTTGTCCATTGAGTCAGTGATGGTTTCCAACCATCTCACCCACTGTCACCCCCTTCTCCTCCTGCCCTCAGTCTCATGCCAGCATCCGGGTCTTTACCAGTGAGTTGGCTCTTTGCATCAGGTGGCCAAAGTATTGGGGCTTCAGCTTCAGCGTCAGTCCTTCCAGTAAATATTCAGTGTTGATCTCCTTTAGGATGGACTGGTTTGATCTCCTTGCTGTCCAAGGGACTCTCAAGAGTCTTCTTCAACACCACAGTTCAAAAGCATCAGTTCTTTGGTGCTCAGCCTTCTTTATGGTCCAACTCTCACATCAACACGTAACTACTGGAAAAACCATAGCTTTGATTATAGAGACTTTTGTGATGTTTCTGCTTTTTAATACATGGTCTAGGTTTGTCATAGCTTTGCTTCCAAGGAGCAAGTGTCTTTTAATTTCATGACTGCAGTCATTGTCCGCAGTGATTTTGGAGCTCAGGGAAATAAAATCTGTCACTGTTTCAACTTTTCCCCCTTCTATTTGCCTTTAGCTTATGAATTAAATGAGATTTTTGGCATAGTATTTGATTTTTTCCATATATCCTGGTAGGAAAGACAGTTTTTACTGAATGTATATAAATAACAATTATAAAAAGTGAAGCAATTTAGAAGTGCTTATAATAGTCAACCACCGTTTTTAGTATTTTGTTGTTAAGGCTCAATGCATGCCATTTTTTCCTACATAATCATTTACTTAGTTTACCTGACAGTTTATTAGTTTCTAATTTATATGAATTTTTATTCTATATTTTTGTTGTGCATCCTCAGGAGTCTACTGGAACAAGATACCATTGAATGAGTTTCACTTCGCTTTGTAGATTGTAAACTGTTGAATTGAGGGTTAGAGCTAGGCCAAGAAGGAAGAAAGGGGATTGGAGAGGGTGGGATTAGAAAGGGATGGTAGGAGGTAATTCTTGTTTCTTCTGACAACCCTTTTTGCCAAAATTAAGTCCCATATTCAAAATAATATTGTTAAGATGTCATTTCTGTCTAAACTGTTTTTGGGTTTCTCACATGGCCACGGGGAAGCTATACTTGCTCCCTCATCTTAGGAGCAGTCAGCGGTCGCTACACTTCAGCTCCTGTTAGCATTAGTGTAGTGTGAGTAGCTCACTTGTGTCCAGGTCTTTGTGACCCCATGGACTGCAGCCTGCCAGGCTCCTCTGTCCATGGGATTCTCCAGGCAAGGAGCCTGGAGTGGGTTGCCATTCCCTTCTCCAGGGAATCTTCCCAACCCAGGGAGTGAATCTGGGTCTCCTGCATTGCAGGCAGACTCTTTACAGTCTGAGCCACCAGGAAAGCCCATCAGTATTGGGTTGGCCTAAAAGTTTGTTCAGGTTTTTCTATAAGATGTTATAGAAAAACTCGAATAAACTTTTTTGCCAACCCAATAGTTAAATTCCTCCAAGCGGTGTACAGTGATGCAGGATGAAACAGTTGTCACTTTTACCTTCCAACTGTGAAGGGGGTTTAATAGGCAGACTGACAGTGATCTGCCTCGAGAACTGATCCTCATGAAGTCTGTGTTTCTCCTATGTTTCTAAGTGTGAAAGGAGCGTTTTCTTTGCATCTGTGTCACAGGAGCATGGCCCTGGGGGCTGACTCAAATGCACTGCTGAATCTATCTAAGAGGACAGAAAGCAAGGAGTTCAAAGGCTATGCTTCTTTCAATAGTTGAGGTTTGTTTTTGTTTTTTTAATGGCATTTATTTCACAAATTATCCTGCTTTCTTTCTTCCAGTTCTGGGATTACCGCCAGCCTCGGAAATACCTCAACATTCTCCCTTGCCAGGTGCCTGTCTGGAAGGCCAGATACACTGTGAGTGAGATGCCCTTCCTCTTGCTTGGAAAAATTATCTCGGTGTTCTGCACACGAGGGGCCAGTGACATTTTCTCTTATTTTCTTTATGAGGTGGTTTTCTCCTTCTGTCTTGGTTTAGGGGTGGGACAAAGGTGGTAATGACAGAATAAGAGCTGTTATCTATTTAAAACTTTGCCTTTGAACATTGGGTGAGACTCTGTACTAGCAGTGCTGGACTAGCTGGGCTGGGTGCTGGGCAGAGCGAAGGTGGTCAGTAAGGGCGAAGAGGAGGGTGAGCTAGAGGCCTGAGAGGCTGGAGGTCAGTGAATTGTGCTGGAAGGATCTCTGGCTTTAGATCCAGAAGACCTGGGTTTAGGGCCCAGCAATCCCATTTAATTTTTTTCCAGCTTTATTGAGATATAATTGACATATCACATGGTTGAAGTTCAAGTTAGGCAACATGTTGACATGTTATATTTGTGTATTGCCAAACAGTTATCACTATAATACCACTATATATAATATACTGTAATATAGCATTTATACTACTATAAATGCTATACCACTATAGCATTTATTAACACTTCCATATCTTAACATAATTACCCTTTCTTTTCTGTGATAAGAACATTTAAGGTCATATTCTCTTGCACCTCTCAAGTATACCATGTGGTGTTATTGACCATAATCATCACGCTGTACATTAGATCCCCAGAGGTCATTCATCTTACAACCAGAAGTTTGTACCCTTTGACCATCATCTCCCTGTTTCTTCCACTTCCCAGCCCCTGGTAACCACCATTCAACTCTCTGTCTCTCTGAGTTCTGCTTTTTAGATTCTTCACATAAATAATACCATGTAGTATTTGTCTTCTCTTTCTGACTCATTTAACTTAGCATAATGCCCTCAAGGTCTATCCGTGTTGTGACAAATGGCAGGATTTCCTTCTTTCTCATGGCTGAATAATATTCCACTGTGTACATACCATGTTTTTATCCATTGATGAACAATAAGTTGTTTCTATATCTTGGCTTTTGTGAATAATGCTGCAATGAGCTGTTTAATATTTGTGTGGCTTTGGACAAGCCACTTTATGTTTTTTGAGTAATAACTTCCTTCTCTGTCAAATGTGAATAGTTTTTAATATGCCTTGCTCTTTTTTTTAAATTGTGATAAAATTCACTATTCTTTAGTGTCCAGTTCGGTGTCATTTACTACAAGTACAGTATGCTCTCTCTTTGAAAAAAGCCACGTATGAAAAAGTATAAACCATAGAATGCTGCAAATATAGTGGATAGGCTCTTATCAAACTTCCATCTTTTTTGCCACATTAATTGCTGCTGATCAGAGATGATATATTTCCTTCAGTGTCAACTTGAAAGGGAGCCCAGGGGTGAGTAAAGGTTCCTTTATACATCAGGCTGTTCCCTGGGGCGTCGTGGAGTGCAGAAGGTAATTGGAATATTAACTGGCCTTCACATCTGGGAGCACTTGGGAAGAAGTCAGACGTTGTTCTCGTGAATTGAAATACTTCTCTGGATTAATACATTTGCTTTAAAAAATAAACGGGAAAGTTCAGAATGCTGCCAGGAGAGCAGGCGAAGATAAATATACTCTTAGGTGGCTGTGGTTTATTCCTTAAAGAACAGAGTCTGCATATCAACCAAATGGGCCTCTTAGCTACTGCACAGATTGGGTGTTGATAAGTGGGATGTGTTAGTCCTGAAATTGAAAGGTTTTCCTTTGAAATGGGTTTCTCTGGTAGCTCTGACGGTAAAGAGTCTGCCTGCAGTGCAGGAGACCAGGGTCCGATCCCTGGGTCAGGAAGATCCCCTGGAGAAGGGAATGGCAACCCACTCCAGTATTCTTGCCTGGAGAATTCCGTGGACAGAGGAGCCTGGCAGGCTGCATCCCATGGGGTCGCAAAGAGCTGGACATGACCAAGCCATTGACACTCAATTCTTTTGAAAAGCTGTAGTCTTGGGGGCTGTGGGAAGGTGCTGCTTCACGTGGACGGAGTGCTTCTGGTACATTTCCACAAGGCAGGGCTGTTTGCTGTCCGGAGTCACCTGCAGGGTGCCTTGTACCCTCATTCCAGGAAAGCACTCAGTAACTCTCAGGGGGTCTTGCGAGAGGAGCTAGGGTATGAAACAGTGTGTTCCAGGGTGCAACCTCCAGAGCCATTTGGTTATTTTACATTAAAAAACATTATCTTTTACTTGCTGTGGTCCTTTCCTTCAGTAAAGAAAGAAAAGAGAAGAAAAGCAAACAAAAAGTAGACATTAACTTACGGTATTTGGAAAAATGTTCCCCAGGTGGGTTGGGGCCTGCCATCATCTAATTTGTTTAAGTTAGGCGAGAACTCCAACTTGGGTAAGTCAAGACTCAGCGGATTCCCCCTGGAATGATGCCTGCTCTTCCCTTTCTTGCCGCAGCCTTTCAGCAATGGATTGGTGACTGTGATGGTTCCCCAGCTGCGGAGGGAGAACAGCCTGCTCTTGTGGAATGTCTTTGACTTGAACACCCCGGTCCATACCTTCGTGGGCCACGATGACGTGGTGCTGGAGTTCCAATGGAGGAAACAGAAGGAAGGTGGGTGGGAGAGAGACCGCTGACCAGTTTCCTCCAGCTCCCATCAGGGTGGGCTGCGTGATTGAAGGGGAGGATGTGGAAACAGGGCTGGCTTCGGAGCGGGAGCCAGGGTTCCCCTGCCTTTAATCGTAGATGGGTGATAGGGTGTGGGGCTGCGGTTCTACCCCAGGCGCATCTTCTTCTTTTGTGTTCTGTGCGGTCTCTCTCCTGCCTGGAAGGGGCTTCTAAGAGGTTGGTAGCTTTGCTGTTGGGTCACTTCTAGAGCTGAAAAACCCCAGGGTCACCACACTCTGAAAACTCTGGCTGTTGCACCTTCCCCCTGTGTTGATGAGGGAGATGCAAAGTCATCATCAGTACCACCTACCACACATTTCCAGTTCTCTTCACAAACCCAGAGGGCTGTTTCACCTCCCATCCCCTTGAAGACAGGTTTGGCCACATGACCCGCTTGGCTCCTGAAACATGAACAGAAGTGATGCAATCTCTTCTGGGCAGAAGCAGTAACAGCCAGTGTACAGTTACTCTCTTCTGCCTCTGCCGAGGCACGTGGTGAGTTTAGCTGCAGCCTTCCTTGTCTTGAGATCTACTGCCATGCTCTCTAAATGTTCTCCAGACTTGTGGTAAATTTTGTGGCCTTCCTGTGTCACAGAAGGAAAGCCCCAGGCAGTGGAGTGGTGTGACTTGTCCAGAGTCCAGGAGAGGTCTTTAGTGGACCTGGGATTAGAGCAGACATCTTATCCCAACTTCTTTGTGACTCTCACAAGCCTCTCCCAGGATTGTTTTTGAAAGGACATTTTTGATGATCCTCTTGATTTTCCCATCTTCATTTCTATAAATCTCTCCTGCTTCTAGAAACGTGAGGCTCCTTGGTCTCTATCCCATCAATTTCCATGCTTGACTTCAGCTTTCAACACATTCTCTTGCACTTTGCCATAGAAAAGAGATGAGAGTTTCCCCGTGATCTGACAGGGGGAGGTTGGCCTGTAGTTTTGGATTGGCAATAAAAAGTATTTAACATCCCATTCTCAGTTGTCTGTGTCATCTATGAGCTGGCAGGGTGAATTGTATAAATTGGGGCTATTCTAGCCAGTAGTGAAACTTTGAGTACGAGTTATAGGTTTTTTTTAAAACTCCTTTTATTGTGAGATACGTCATGTATAAAATTACATAAAATATGTACAGTTTATAAAGTGAAAATCTGAGTAACTACCACCAAGGTCAAGAAAGAACATTGCTAGAACTCAGAAACTTCCTGAGCACAATTCTTTCCCTTCCCTCGAGGTAAACACTGTCCTAACATTTACATTATGACTTCTGTTATCTTGTTTATAGTTTTACTACCCATTTCTGCATCCCTAAAAATAGTTTAGGTTTGTTTTTGAACCTTTTATAAATGTAATCATCCTTCATGCATTCTTATATTTTCTTTCTTTCTCAACCTAATGATGTCCCATTTTATTTTTATTGCCATGTCCTCTTAGTCATTTTTTTATTGGCCCCCCTCAGACTTTGATGTTGGTTTTCACTGTGGTCACGGAGCTCTCAGAGGTAGGAAGAGAATCAGGATGTTGTGGTCCATGGAAAAGGATGCTTCGTGAAGGAAGCGGAGGTCATTGGTTTCAGGCTCTGCTAAAGGATCTCCATGCAGAATAAGCAAGAGGCGCCTAATTGTGTAAGCAGGTATAAATAGGAAGCCATGTGAGCATTAAGAGAGCAGCTCCAAAGGCACATTGAGGAGGGAAGCCTGATTGTAAGACGGCAGGAACAGGCAGCAGGAACTGGCTTGTGAGTGAGGTTGCCTCAGAGGCAAGAAGCAGGCTGAGCTCACTGGCAGAGGCTGCTTCCCTCTCGACATGAAGGCAAGGAGAAGGTGAAAAAAGGGAGCATATGGGAAAGCAAAGGTCTTTTAAAATGGGAGGGAATAGGGCCAAAGGCCCAAGTAGAGGAATTGGATTTAGAAAGGAATTAGGCATAACTTTTCTTCAAAATCAGAGACATGGAAAGAGGCTGGAGTGGACTTCCCTGGTGCTCCAGTAGTTAAGACTGTGCTTCCAAAGCACGGGGCGCAAATTTAGTCCCTGATCAGGGAACTAAGATCCCACATGCCTCGCGGCTTGCCCAGAAAAAAAGAAAAGAGGCTGGATGTAGAGTCAGAAAATTGTTGCTATGAACATGGGCTGGATGGTGGGACTTATGGCAGGCAGTAGCTCAGAATACTTGCTGTCTTGCTTGTTGAGCACGAGAATGTATTAAGACATTGAGTGAAGGCTTGGGTGAAGGCAGTGACAAAGAGAAGGAACTTTTTTTGGTAAACTTTTATGTTTGTATTGAAGTATACCTGATTAACACTGTTGTGACAGTTTCAGGAGGACAGCAAAGGGACTGAACCATACATATACAAATATCTGTTCTCCGTTAAACTCCTCTCCCACCCAGGCTGGATTTGAGCAGAGTTCTCTGTGCTATACGGCAGGTCCTTGTCGGTCACTCGTCTCAAATACAGCAGTGCGTACACGTCCAGCCCAAACGCCCTAACAATCCCTTCCCCGCACCCCAGAGAAGGAACTTTTGCCCCTCAATGTTCTCTGCTGCCTCTCTTTCCCCATGCGTTTCCCAAAATGAGGGAATCGGATGAAATTATTTCTAGGTTGTTTACTCTCTGAAGATGACCATAAAGAAGATTCTGGATACTACAGAATTACCCAGAAATGTCCTGATCTTTCATAAAGCTCTTTCGGAAACCACCTTGAACCTTGTTAGAGTAATTTCCCTTTGACTAGCCCTGTTGTATGGAAATACAGTTCAGTTAAGAAATGGCAACCCACTCCAGTACTCTTGCCTGGAAAATCCCATGGACGGAGAAGCCTGGTAGGCTACAGTCCATGGGGTCGCAAAGAGTCAGACATGAGTGAATGAATTCACTTTAAGACTATTAAAGATGGATTATTCCTTTTATAACGAGATGTGTCTCTGTACCAAAAAATTCTTTTAAACAGTAAGATGTCATAATGCATTTGAAGCAATACATTTTACAGACAGCCTACTCATCCCCAGCTCCTCTGGAACAGAAAAGGAAGAACATTTGTGGAGGTGAAAGTTCAGTGAGACATTAAATTCTAGCATCACTCTTCACCTGCTAATTTGCCAGCTTTTATTTCACTTCATTTAAGGTTCTGCTCAAATGTGACTTCCTAGGAGAAGTCCTGTCTAAAAATAGCTCCCCTGTCAGCCTCTATCCATTTATCCCACAGTGTTTTTCTAACAACACTATCACTACCGGACATGCTAGTGTATGTTTGTCTGTTTCCACCATTGGAATGTGAGATCTGTAAAGACAGAGATTCTTGATTCATATTATAGTCCTAGTACTTAGGACAGTGCCTGGCATATAGGAGGTATTCCATAAGTATTTGTTAAATGGATGAATGAATGAATGAATCTCCCTCCCTCTCAGCCTGTAACAAATTTGATGTTGAACGCATAAAACATCAGGATTCTTATCTGGTGATTTCCAGGGTCCAAGGACTACCAACTGGTTACGTGGTCACGGGATCAGACCTTGAGAATGTGGCGGGTGGATTCCCAGATGCAAAGGGTATGTATTCAATGCTGTTGTGGAAGAACATTAACTGGAAACGCCAGAAACTTAAAAGATTTGGTAGTTGCGGAAGTTAGAGGATACTTGATAGACATTTAATACGTACTGGCTGGTTGGCCAGGTGGCCGGGGTTTGCTACACTGAGGCTTTGAGGTCTTCAGGAGCCACCTTCAGTATCAGATCTTCAAGGATGGAAAGCCGCTGATTGTCTGTTTTTTCTCTTGCCCTGGTCTAAGACAGTGTGGGTTAGAGTACTGAGAAGGTGGCCTGGGGGCATCGTTTCTTTCTCTCACAAATGGGCTAGTCCTCCACATTCATCAGCAGCACCTGTTATGTGAAGCCCTTTCCATTTGTGCCCCATCAATTGTATCTGTGCTTATATGAAGCACCGTGGTCCCAGGTGTAAACTGCTTTCGTGTCCATCACTTTGCTCTGTCCCATTATGGGGTTCTGTCTTCTCATCCAGGGCAAAATTCCTTGAAGGTGGTAATGGTGTCTCACTTATATTGCATCCCACACAGTGCTCTGTACACAGTGGATAGAAAATGCCGAGACAGATTTGCTAAACTGCTTAGTACCAAGTCACTCTTGAGCATTTTGGTCACACATCATCACCTTACTGCTGTTTAAATTTTTTTTTCCTCCAGAAAGTACCATTTGCTCCAAATTCTTTTTAAGTTATATTTTTGCTCTTGGCTAGCTTGATAACTCCATCAAAGCTTGAAGTTTAAAAGGTTTTCTGAGATTTTAAAAAACTATGAACCTGATAAAACATTTTCTGGGGTAGAATAATAGTCTGTTTTCCTGTGTGTTTAAACCAGGGAGAGTTGGGGATGGGCAAAACCCATTTTGATTGTATCCGTTTGGGGCTGACATTTTTCTCCTTTGTGATTTCCATTTTTGGAGTCAGAACTCAGCCAAACATGACAATCCTTTCCACTGGCTTCTCTAGACCCAGATCCTCTCCCCTCTGTTGCAGCTTTGTGCCAATGACATCTTAGATGGTGTTGATGAGTTCATTGACAGCATTGCCCTTCTCCCGGAACCAGAGAAGATCCTTCACACCCAGGACACAGACCACCAGCACAACTCCAGCCACGGGGAGGAAGAAGGTAATTGGTCACACTGATGTTCTAGGTATGGTGCCCCTGTCTGCATCTCTGAGTTGTGGTAGATACCCCAGAACTGCTCTCTGAATCCATTTCAGAAATGTTTTCCAACAAGTGACCCTGTCTCTCCTGCTAGTCTTAAAGGAAGACCCCCTAAGCAGTCTCCTGGAGGAGAAGAAATCAGAGCAGCTGGGCCTGCCTCAGACTCTGCAGCAGGAGTTCTCTCTGATCAACGTGCAGATCCGCAATGTGAACGTGGAGGTGCTCAGGTTTTCTGTCTCACACTTGCGGTTGGTGGCCGAGGGGACTGTTTCAGCCATGATTTGGGCTAGCAGATGGCTTTTCTGCTTTAACAGGGAAGTCTCTGTCCTTGCTTTCTTGTTTCCTAGGTTTTGTAAAGAAATAATTAACTGTTAACTGTTAGTTGTTTGGTTGTGTCCGACTCTTAGCAACCCCGTGGACTGTAGCTCACCAGACTTCTCTGTCCATGGAATTTTCCAGGCAAGAATACTGGAGTGGGTTGCCATTTCCTAGTCCAGGGGATCTTCCCAACCCAGGGATCGAACCCCCGTCTCTGCGTCTGCTGCATTGGCAGGTGGATTCTTTACCACTAGCGCCACCAGGGAAGCCATTCCCATCTATTCTAAAGAAAGAAATATTTTAGAAATACAAGTTTTTTTTTCTCCTTTACGCTATTGTTCTCTCATAAGATGAACTAAGGGATAAACGGATGCTCGTATGTCTTAAAATCTCCTTAGACACTCCAGCACTTCATTTGACCCTATGTGAAGGTGCTCAGATCTGGGAAGGTTTAGTGTTTTGATGGAGGCTGCTGGTGAAGTTAATGGCAGGGCTGAGTTTGGAAGACAATCTCCTTATTCTTCAAGGTTCTTTGTGCTTGCCTTATCAGTTGCTTATTTCCTTGGTGGTTTAGATTCATAGTAAGAAGTTGACCCAGCCTCTTTGTTCATTTAACTTGGAGAGGTTTATTTACATTTTTCCTTTAGGGCAGGTATACACTTGGCTTCAGAGAATTGAATCTCTGTGAGGGAGTTTTAAAACTTGATGAGTTTTGCTTTTGCCCAGATTCCATTAACAGTAGCACTGGGTCTGCGCACTTACATAGTTGTCTCCTTTGGCCTTTAAAACAGCTCTGAAGTAAGTGGTCTTATCCCCGTTTTACAGATGAGGAAACAGAGACACTAAGAAATGAAATAACTTGTCCAAGGTAAGCAGGTATTTGAACCTGAGTCTCCAGGTTCCCCGCACGTGTGACTCTTTTCACTGTCCCCCAGCTGCCGTCTCTGGTTGGCACTACAAGAAATCAAAAGAGGTAACGGACTCTTTGATTGATTGGTTATCTCTGTCAACTCAGTTTCTGTCCCCTCTGTCCCAGTTGAGAACAGATGGGCTATCCAGTGATCTAGTCCAAGAAGGAGATTTTGATTCCTTTCCCAGGACTGCTTTTTTTTTTCTTCCCAGGACTGCTTTTTAAAAATTATTCCCTGGTGGTCTAGTGGTTAAGACCCCGTGCTTCTGCCGTGATGCGTGCAGGTTCGATCCCTGGTTGGGGAACTAAGATCCCACATGCTGCAAGGCACAGCCATAGAAGAATATAAAATAAAACAGAATAAAATCACATACCACAAAATTCACCCTTTTAAAGTGTGTAATTTAATGGTTCTTAGTGCATTTACAAACCCATGACTTACAAATCATTACCACTGCTACTTTCAGAGCATTTTTCATCATCGCCAGAGAAATCCTACATCTCTTAGCATCTTCCTGTTTCCTTTCTCCCCAGCGCCTGCCTGATAGACACTCATCTTTTTTCAGTCTCTATGGATTCTCCCAGGAGTGCTTTTAACTTGAGTCAGGTTTTTAATATCTTCCTGCTTTATTTTCCCATCTCAAAATAAATATAACACGTTTCAGCCTATCTCACAGCTTCCAGATAAAGCTTTTCTAAGTCAAAACACTTTGAGCTTATTAAATCAGTGCTAAAATTAAAAATCCATTTTGAAAATGAGTTGTCCACATCTTCGCTATTCATTTGTTGGGAGACTCTCTCCCTTGACTCTGTTACCAGCAACCTAGAGCACTCCGTTACCTTATTTAAACCTGTTTGCCTCTGCAGACCCTTTGCAGTTCCTGTCTAAATCAGCTCTTGATTTGTCCCCCGCAGATGGACGCAGCAGACAGGAGCTGCACAGTGTCCGTGCACTGCAGCAGCCACCGTGTCAAGATGCTGGTGAAGTTCCCCGCGCAGTACCCAAACCACGCGGCCCCCTCCTTCCAGTTCATCAACCCCACCACCATCACGTCCACCATGAAGGCGAAGCTGCTCAAGGTGGGCCTCTGTGTTTGCAGGTTCTCCTTGATGCCATCAGGGTCTGAGTTGAGTAGTAAAGTTGAATGAAAACACCTTTGTTAAGATTTTGTCGTCATCTGTCCTTCCTCATGTCAGTGTTAACAGTTGTATTCATTTTGTGTAGAAAATCCCAAGTGCTGTTTCTTAATCTCTTTGGGTCATGGATCTACCCCTCTTTGGAAGTCTAATGAAAATCATAGACCCTTTTGCAGAAAAACTGGCACAGATGTTACATGTAACTTCAGAAACAGTGCATGTAAATAATAGGCAGTTCTTTAATTGCATATAATCTGCTCACAGATCTCATTAAAGCTATGAGATCCCAGGTTAATATGATATGACTTCATTTATTTGGAAACTATAGGCAAAATGTATTCTGAAGCTACAAGATAATTTCTAATCAGAAAAAAAAGTATTTAAAGTCATTAAAAAAAATCTGTTCCGTGAGGAGAGGTTGCCACTTAGAGTGAGGCTGGCTTGCTGGTCAAGTTGGGACAAGTTAGGTGGGGTATATGATATGACTGTGGTGCCTGAATGAAGGGGAGTAGCCTTGTTGCAGTAGGGAGGACCCTTTCCAGGGCCTGAAACTGGGCTCTTGTCTAACACTCGGAAATGAATTGTCCGAGGAGACACGTGCTGACAAAGCAAGAGGTTTTATTGGGAAGGGACACCCAGGTGGAGAGCAGGAGGATAAGGGAACCCAGGAAAACTGCTCTGCCACATGACTTGCAGTCTTGGTTTTATGGTGATGGGATTCGTTTCTGGGTTGCCCGTCGTTCTGACTCAGAGTCCTTCCTGGTGGTGCCTGCCTTGTTCAGCCAAGATGGATGCAGCGAGGATTCTGGGAGGTGGTCGGACATGTGGTGTCTCCTTTTGACCTTTCTTGCACTCTTCCGGTTGCCAGTGGCTTATTAGTTCCATGTTCCTTGCTAGGACCTCCTGTCCTAAAACAGCTCATGCAGATGGTTACTATGGTGCCTGACCAGGGTGGGCGGTTTCAGTCCATGTGCTTCCCCCAATAGCCTGGCATTTCATCTTGACCGGTATAGGTTCAGAAACTTGATGTGTCAGTTCACACAGAGCTGATCAAGTGGAATCCTCATAAAAATGCCCCTCAAGCTAGGATGATATGCCTTCTTCGATCTGAGCAGCATCATATGTGAAATCAGTGAAACTGTCCTAATGACACCAGCTTGACCTGACTGCTGTTCATTTTTTGCCTAGTTCGTATTGTACTCATTTGATTGTTCCATCTTCTTAGGGTATGATAGGTAACCAGGAAACTTTTTGGTGTGAGTTTTGTGTTCACGGCACATCTTGATCCAGACTGGCCAAGCACACTTCATGTGCTTTAGCCCCCTGTGGGTAATGACTTCCATGTTAGACAGTCCAGGTCCAATTTACATGCCTGTTTTCAGTATGTGTATGTCAATTTATACCTATAGCTGCTGCTAATTCGCTTCAGTTGTGTCCGACTTTCTGCGACCCCATAGACGGCAACCCACCAGGCTCTGCCATCCCTGGGATTCTCCAGCAAGAACACTGGAGTGGGTTGCTATTTCCTTCTCCAATGCATGAAAGTGAAAAATGAAAGTGAAGTCGCTCAGTCATGTCCTACTCTTAGCGACCCCATGGACTACAGCCTACCAGGCTCCTCCGATACCTATAGCCTTCTCTGATACCTATAGCATGTACTTTAAAATGTCAGATTTTATATTTTTAAAGGATCAAAAAAAAAGGTACTTTCTAATTTTCACTAAAGTGACATCTGGGAATTTGCTGGCAGTCGAATGGTTAGGACTCCATGTTATCACTTCCAACGGCCTGGGTTTAGTCCCTGATTGGGGAACTAAGTCCCACAAGTGGCAAGCGCAGCCAAAAAAAACCCCCAAAATATGGAATCTATTCCCTCTGTCATGTAGGTATCACTTTGAACAGTTTTCAGTTCAGACTGGAGGATGTTACTTCTAAGTGGTACTGAGATTTCTCATGGAGGAGGGTGGGGTGGGGGAGAGCCAAGGAGTAGAATTCGCTATTAAGGAAGAATGGTCATTCTAATACAAGAAATGTGCCATCTCAAAGTCAGCGTGTGTGCATGCCCTGGCAAAGGAAAGGGCTTCTGAAGGAGCACTCACAAAGGAGTCTCCTCTTTGAGCCTCTTAGACAGGTGGAAAGCAGCGTGTTGTGTTGGCAGCCTCAGACACAGCCACACTCTGGTCACCGAGCGTCATCGCTGCTTCTAGTGCTTCTCACAATAAAAGCAAATCAGGAGGAAGTACATTGCTCTTCTTGACTGTGTATTGTGCCTTTTCTAGATCCTGAAAGACACCTCCCTGCAAAAAGTGAAACGCAACCAGAGCTGTTTGGAGCCGTGCCTGCGCCAGCTCGTCTCCTGCCTCGAGTCTTTTGTGGTGGGATCCTTGTTACCTACCTCTGCCTGGGGCTTTTGTTTCCTTTCTGCTTCCTGAAGTCCTGGGCTCCCTGATCTTGTAATAATGCATCCTATTTTGTAATTCATCTTGAAGACCGATTATGGTTTTTAGTCTCTTTGACTTTAAAATTTCAGAACCAAGAAGACAGTGCTTCCAGCAACCCCTTCGCACTTCCGAACTCCGTCACGCCGCCCCTACCAACGTTCGCCCGGGTAACCACCGCCTACGGGTCCTACCAGGATGCCAATATTCCCTTTCCCAGGACGTCGGGGGCCAGGTTCTGTGGGGCAGGTAGGTCTTTTTTGGTTCTCTGATTCTAGATTTTGAGAGAAAGAATGTCTATATAAAAATTTCCATCAGAAAATTTTTCTTAATTTTCTGAGAACTCAAAAGATTTCCGTCGTAATGTTATCTGAGCTGGACTGGCATTTGTAGACATATTCTAAGAATGTTTAGCAGAGTTATGGTCTTAACTTTTTTCATTCTGATGAGTATGTATTTGTGTCTTGACTCAGAATATTGAGAATATATGTAGGAAATATAAAGCACCTGCGAAGACTTTTCCAAACCACATACATCCTTGTCTCTCCTCGATCCTAGAGATTCTTTTGTGGGGGTGGGGGGCGCTGCACTGGGTTTTCGTTGGAGCGCACTGGTGCTCTGGTTGTGGTGCCTTGGCTTAGTTGCCCCAAGGCATGTGGGATCTTAGTTCCTCAACCACCCACATCCCCTGCATTGGAAGGCAGATTCTAACCCCTGGACCACTAGGAAAGTCCCGATCCTGGAGATTCTGATCTTTGTCTTAAGTACAGCTGCAGTCATGAGCCCATGCAACTTAAAATGCTAAGTATTATCCTTCAAGTATGTTGAAGTAGACAAAAGATTAAGCAGTACTGTCTTAGGATTTCCCACAATCAGCTTAACGACCTTGATGTGCATGTGTGATGTCTCCTTTGACAGGGTACCTGGTGTATTTCACAAGGCCCATGACAATGCACCGAGCAGTCTCTCCTACCGAGCCTACCCCGAGGTGAGTGGGGGATGCAGGCATAAGCTGCATTCATGGGCCAGAAGTGAGCAGACATGTGGGAATTTGCTTTTGGACAGTTTGTGTTAGTTATCAGCAAGTGCTCATTGTAAAATTTATTCCCAGAAGATTAAGGTTCGTTAAACTGCACCTAAACTGAGATTTCTACTATTTAGTTACTACTGGGAGGAATTGCTTGATAAAAGCTGATAAAAGTGTGCTTGTCAAAACAAGGCAAATGCTGTTTTAATGTGTTGTCTCCCTATTGCTAAAGTATTATCTGAATGCTAAATAATACTAGAAAAATAGCAAAAGAGATTATTTATAGTCCCATAACACTAATAGGGTAAAGTGTACCGTCTGGTGGCTCAGATGGTAAAGAATCTGCCTGCAGTGCAGGAGACCTGGGTCAGTCTCTGGATCAGGAAGATCCCCTGAAGAAGGAAATGAATGGTTACTCACTCCAGTATTCTTGCCTGGAGAATTCTGTGGACAGAGGAGCCTGGTGGATATAGTCCATTGGGTCGCAAAGAATTGTACATGACTAAGCAGCTAACACTTTCACATTTTTCTTTCAACATTAATTGATCATTCCTAACATTACCACACATGTGTAGTGGATGTGCAGCCAGCCATCCCTAAAATCAATCTATAACCTTGTCATTATACCAGAAAGAAACTCTGAATTCCTTAGGGGTCACCCTAGTTCCCAAGTCCCCCATTCCTCTAGCCCTGGGCAAACGCTTATCTACTTTCTCTCTATAAATTTGCCTAATTCTGGACAGTTCATATATATGGAATTATGTATGTGTTCCTTTGTTACTGACTCTTTTTACTTAGTATACTATTTTTAAGGATCATACGTGTTGTAGCCTGTATCAGTTATTTCTTTTTATTGCCAAATAATATTCCATCACATGTGCATATACCATATTGTATTTATTCACTCAGACCAGTCAGCAGACATTGGCATTGTTTGCACTGTTTGGCCATTACAAATAATGCTGCATGAACATTCTGTACAGATTTTTGTGTGGATATGTATTTTTTTTTTTTTCTTAGATACGTACTTGAGAGTTGAATGACTGTATCATGTTGTAAATTTTTTTCTTAATTAATACACTTTATCTTTTAGAGCAGTTTTAGGTTCATAGCAAAGTTGAATGTAGAGAACACATACCTCTGACCCCATGCATTTACAACCACCCCCACACTAGTGGTTTTTTAACTTAAATATTATGCCGAAGTCTTTTGGTTCTGCAGTCTGATGGCCAGAATAACTTGGAAACACTCTTGCTACAAACACCTGGTTATATTGTATATGGTATAATTAGCAAACTTAATAACGAATAGCTAAGCTAACAAGAAAGAAAGTTCATGAGCAGATGATACTGCTGTCCTGGGAGTTTGCCTGTCTCTGCAATAACCCAGGCAGGTGAAAACTTGGCCCCACAAGAACTGGGGGTTAAATGCCAGAGAAGCCCCTTCGTGACACCAGGTTCGTTATTCCAAAGGTTGGACTAGAAAACAAGTACCTACTCTTAAAGGGAAACCACAGATATCTGTATCTGAACTTTGGGTCAGAGGGAAAATGTTCCAATTAGAACTTTTTTTCCTACTAACAGTTCTTTGCTGAGGTATAATTTAGGGTACACAAATGTGGAGTCTGTGCCTTGATGACCAGCATCCAGGTCAATCTATAGCATTGCCCTCACCTCCCCCCAAAAGTTCCCTAGTCCCTTTTCCTAGAGGAAACGACTTTTCTGCTTTCATCACTGAAGTTTAGTTTTGCCTGTGCTTGAACTTCATCTGTACAGAATCATGCAGCATATAACATTTTATGTCTGGCTTCTTTTGCTCAGCTTAATATTTTAAAAATTGATTTCCACATTATTGTGTGTATCAGTAGTTCCACTGTATAAAAGTAATATAATTTGTTTATTCATACTCCTGTTGATGGACATTTGGATTATTTCCAGTTTTTATTTTTATTGTATGTAGACCTACACATACAAGTCTTTTAATGTACATGTGTAATAATTTCTCTATCCAAGAAGTAGATCTCTAGGTCATAGGATACGTGCCTGTTTAATTTTATTAGAATTGCCAAAAAGTCTGTCCTTAGTGGTTGTGCCATTTTATACTCTTCGAGCAGTGTTTCAGAATTCTGGCTATTCACATCCTCTCCAAAACTTGGTTTTTTTAGCCTTTTCAACTTTAGCCATTGTGGTGGTGTATAGTGGTATCTCATTGTACCTTTAACTTGTGCTTCCATGATAATGACTAATTGTAATAGAGTTGCAGCTCTTAATATGCTGCCTTGGTGCAAGCTGTAACCCCCCTCCTTGGTTACCTTGTGAAGGTTCCTGTGGGCCCATTAGTGGTCCCACTCAGCCATTGGTTGGTGCCATATTGGGCCCCTCCCCCAAGCGACCAGCTGTCAGTGAGTGACTGTTGGTGGTCGTGCTCAGCCATTGGTTGGCACGGCATTGGGCCCCTCCCCCAAGCGACCAACTGTCAGTGAGTGACCGTTGGTGGTCCTGCTCAGTCATTGGTTGGCCAGTGGGCCCCTCCCCCAAGAGACCAACTGTCAATGAGCGACTGTCAGGTGGTTCATTCAGCCAACAGCGGAGTGGTGGTCGTCAGGCTGAGTGAGGTCAGAGGCAGATCCCAGTCTTCTCCCCGGAGCCCTTCAGCTCACCCACTGGCGTCCGGCCCAGGCCTTGAGGTGGCAGTGCACCTCTCCACCATTCCTGCCTCTGTGACCTAATGTCAGCCACAGTCCAGTAACCTGGCCCCCACCATTTGGGTGGCCTGAGGAGCCTGAGGGCCTGGCGGGTCCTGGGACCCGACTCCCTCAGCAATGACAGCTGGGGACCTGGCCCTGAGGGAGCCACCAACTGAATATACCTCCTCTTAGATGGGACCTGGACCTCAGACAGTGAAAGTTTTGCTGAGAGACTGTGCTCCTTCTTGTCAGAACAGAGAATAATCTTTGTCTAGTAGAGATTTACAGGAATGTCATTACCCAACCTCAAGAACACAGGATCTGACACCAAGAAGTTTGCAGCAACTGACCCTTCCCCTCCCTCACTTTTCCTGTAAAAGGGCTTTGCTGAGAACTCTTGGGGAGTTTGGGGCTTTTAAGGGACGAGCCATCCATCTCCTTGCAGGACCCTCAGCAAACCTTTCTGTGTTCCAAACTCCAACATTTTGATATTGCTTGACCTCGCTGTGCATTGGGCACGTGGACTTGCATTTCAATAACATAATGGTTTGTTGTTGTTGTTTAGTTGCCAAGTTGTGTCTGATGCTTTACGACCCTATGGACTGTAGCCCACCAGGCTCCTCTGTCCATGGGATTTTCTAGGCAAGAATACTAGAGTGGGTTGCCATTTCCTTCCCCAGGGGGGAATCAAACCCGTATCTCCTGCATTGGCAGGCAGATTCTTGACCGAACCACCGGGAAGCCAACATAGTCATGGTGAACAGCTTTCGTGTGCTAATTGACCACTTGGTTATCTTCTTTTGTGATGTGCCTGTTCTAGTATTTTGTATAGTTTTTTTTAGATTATGTTTCTTATTATCTGTTTGTGGTTCTTTATCCATTCTGATTGCAAATCCTTTCCTGGGTGTATATGTTGATTTTCTCCTAATTTGTGACTTGTCTTTCTCCCTCTTTAATGATTTTCATTTACTAGCAGTGTTTAATTTTACTGCAATTCAATTTATCACTTCTTAAGTGTTAGGGTTGGTGCTTCTGTGTCTTGTCTAAAAAAAAAAATGTCTGCCTACCCCAAGGTCATAGAAATATTGTGTGTTCCCTCTTAAAAATTTATAGATTTAAACTCCTTATTTCAGATCTGTAATTAATCTCGAGTTAATTTTTGTGTATGTGAGGTGGGGGGAGTCAAAGGTTTTTTTTTTTTGTTTTCAGTAGTTTTATATATATAAGTAGCACCATTTATGGAAGACATTTTGCTCTTGTCAAATTTGCATTGATACCTTTGTTGAAAATCAATTGACCATATGTTTTGAATCTATTTCTGGACTGTATTTTCTCTTTGATTTGTTGGTTTCTCCTTATGCCAACACTACACTGTTAATGTAGGTTTGTATAGTAAGTCTTCAAATCTGGTAGTTAGGTCCCCTAACTTTATTATTCTTGTATAGGATTGTATAATTTCTGTAAAAATAGGAATCAGCTTACTGGTTTCTACAAAAAAAGTCTGCTCATGTTTTGCTTGAAATTGCGTTAATTCTGTAGATCAATTTGGAGAAAATCAACACTTGAACAACATGAAATCTTCTGGTCTATTAACACAATGTATTTCTCTGTTGCTTTCAGTCTTCTTTAACTTCTCTCAGCAATATTTGTATTTTCAATGCACATCTTTAAGTGTGTCCCTAGGCGTTTAATGTGTTTTGATGCTATTGTAAATGCAATTTTAAAAATGTTTATTTTCCAAATGTTTGATATAAAGAAATACTATAGATTATTGTAGATTGACCTTGTATTTAAATACACTTATTACTTTAAGTAGTTTACAGATTTCTTTGACTTTTCTGTGTATATAGTCATAGAAACATTCTCTGCTTCTGCAGATAAAGCATTTTTCAGTTCTAAAATTGCTATTTGGCTCCTTTTTGGAGTTTCCATCATCCCCACCCTGTTATATCCATCTCTTCCTCCTGATTTCATCAAGTACTAAGAATGGCATCACTTAGAACCATGAAAAGATTGAAGAAGCCAGTATAGATAACCTTGCCTTTTCAACCACAGATCTCTCTCGGCCTTGTCTGCCTATCACACTGGCTTGATTGCGCCCATGAAGATCCGCACAGAGGCCCCTGGGAACCTCCGTTTGTACAGTGGGAGCCCCACGCGCAGTGAGAAGGAGCAGGTCTCCATCAGCTCCTTCTACTACAAGGAGCGGGTAAGCGGCTGAGCCATGGCCTTTGATACTTATCCTTTCCCTAGACTCTTGTTCTTGGTCTCCCTACCTACCACGTGCAGCACCTAATAATAAATTAGTGATCCCCCTGTGGTCTTTCCCTTTCATACTTAGTATGTTAGAGAAAGACCATTGCTTTCTTCCTTTCAGTTGGTTTTAGCTACTGTAAATTGTATGGGTGTGGGAGAGTGTGTGACTGGTTGTTATAATCCATACTCTTCCCTCCCTTTAACCTTGTCTTTGTGATCCTCATTCATGAAGTCAGTGCCCATCCTCTCAGAATCATGTAGCTTCAGGTCTTTCTGGGTATTCTGATGTTTGTTAGTAAATTTCGGGATGCTTCAGTAGGCTTGGTATCCTAATATATTTGGAACTTCATGGTTGTGGGAAGTTTTAAAGTTGACCTCTAAGAGATTTATACTTTTAGTAAGTCTGCACTGAAGTACCCATTTGAATGGACCACTTTATACAAAAATCACCTGAAACTGTCTCTTTCTGTTCCTGCTTCTTAAGGAACTCATTGTCCCTAAAGTAGCTATTAAGTTGTCAGAAACCTTTGGTGACGAGAGTGTAGGGAATGTCAGCAGAGCGTGGGAATGATTCTGAGGACTTTTTGTGTTGTCAGGTTGAGTCTGGCTTAAACCGGCTTTTAACTGACATGTATTATTTGGTTACCACCGAGTTACTCAAAAACTCAGTCCTTAGTAATACATTGTTGCTTTCTCCTGCTAATTGAGAAATGATAGATTGACTATAATTAAAATTTGCATTTTTTGAACTACTTAAAATAAAACCCCAATTTCCAGGAAGTGTTAGAGGTGTCTTCACTTCAGTTGCAGTGTAGTGTCTCACCTTCTTGGTTTGCAAGATAGTTGGCTGTCTCTGACTTGATCAGGTCTTAGGGTTGTATGTGACAAGTGAGTGGCAGGAACTGATGCCTTGAGACATGGCTAGAATTGGGCAAAACCTTCAGTCGAATAGGGAAAATGATTTTTTGTTGCCTTTCTGGCCAACTCCATAGTCCCCTTCTTTGCATCACTGATGGAGTTATCTACCTCCCCCCACAACCCAACCCCCACAACTGTTCACAGACCTTCTTAGAACACTTCTGTCTTCCTCGGTGCTTTACATTCAAATAAATTTTTTTCTTTTTCTGCAAGCTAGCAGGTAACTGGTGAGATGCTTTAATAAATGGATTGGAACTAAGGCATTTTATTATTGATGTAATAGCCAAACAAACTCACAGTTGGATAAGTGTGGGAATTTTCTTTAGTGTCAGAGCCAGGTTGAGGAGATGTTTTAGTCAAAAAGGCAGTTCTGAATTCTGTTTCAAATCACACCAGGCGCTACTCATGCTTGGGTTAAAATTGGGCAGCACAGATGGACCAACACTTTTGACCCGTGATAGTACGTAAAGGTTGTGTTTCATCAAGATAACTCCAGTTCCAAGAAGGGGCCTCTCCTAATGCAGAAGCATTTGTAAAGCCTACATATATGTTTTTGATGGTCTGGCCTCTTTTACGACAAAAGCCGTAATCATGAAGAGGGAATAAAGTCCTGTAGATAACTAATTACCTCTTATCAGACAGGATCTGGATTGTGACATTTCAGATTGGGGTGATTCCCAGTGTGCTACTTCTTCCTAGAAAATGAGCCTTTGTAGTCCTCTAGGATGACATAGTAAGTGGTTTGTGAATTATATTTCAGACAGTGGCCAAATAAAATAGGGAGAAATAGTTTTATTATAATTTCATATGAAACTATTGTATTGATGTATAACATGTACAGAAAAGTTCGCAAATCATTGGTATGTATTTCAGTGAATTAACAATCATACAGGCCAAGAAATAGACTATTCTACGAACTCTAGAAGCCCTGGGGGAGGAAGGCACATTTTAGTGGTTGACATATAGTAATTATTAGGAAATTGCTGATATTTAAGCATTTTTTACCTTAAAAGTTTCATGTGGTTCAACTTAGTAAGTTAAAATCAGTTAGTAATAACTGGTCAGGCAGTTATTTTGTGATGAATATGAAGTAAATTCATAAATTCTCCTTTGAAGCTTGTTCATGTCCATCCCATTTACATGGGGCATAGGGGAGGAATTAAAGGTACGAAATATGCCACAATATAATGCATAGGCCATCTTATCGTCCTCACAGAGGATGATAATGGTTTTATCCCTCAAGGAGTATTTTCTGATTCTCGGTGTCTAGTTTCAAATGTCAAATCATATCACTTTTATTACTTTCGTCCTGAAAATGATCCCAGTTTACTAAATTTTCTGTGCTTGTCTTCATTTTTAGCTCAAATTTTATCTCATACATACTTTTATTCTTATTTAGATCTCTACACCTGAAAACTTTAAATGAGTAAGAATAAAGGAAAGGAATATAACTGCATTAAAGTATAGCATCGAAGGAATTATAGAGTATTTTGGAGATAGAAGAAAAAAAAATCTCTTAAAGCTGTTGAGGACTAGTATTCATTTCACTTGTTTTTGTGTGTTTTTAACCTTCCCTACTTAGGTCATCTTGTTTTATCACCGAAAGGTTCTCCAGATGGAATTCCAATGTTCACTCTTAAAATTTTTTTTATGTGAGAGAGGTTTTAAAAAAAGGACACATTAAATTTCGTAAGAAGTTAGAAAGCACAGAGAGATACTAACTTTCATTCGGTAACTGGACGATCAGTTGGTGTCGCTAAAATAGCCTTAATGTAAACAACTGAGGAGGTCCTGGTTCATAGAATAATTTCTGGTTTCCAGAAACAGTGTTGCGTGCTCCCAGTTTCACACTGACGCTCGAGCTGTTAGCAAGAGCCTCCCTTTCCCACAGGCTCTCGCTTCCTCGTGGCGCCCCTCTGAGCATGGTCCTGGAGTCCCAAGATTGGAACTCCAGCCTCCCCAGCGGACCCCGGCCACGCCAACAGCAGTGCAGTGTTGAGTCTGCTGAGGAGCTTCTTCCTGTTTAGGAATGAGAGTCTTCTCGCACATGCCTGTGCCCTTGAAGGGGAAGCAGAGCGCTCCACCTATTTCTTACGATCTTAATTCTTATCGGGGAACCACAGGTCTCCACTGTTGCTCCTCTGTCAGAGCTGTGTGGACATCAGCCTCCTGATATCTTGAAACATGTTTCGGACTAAAGGCCAGTGACACTGAAGCTGTGTTCGAATGTGATGGGTGGGGGTGGTTGAGGGCTTCACGTACTGCTGTGCTGAGGTTCATGTTTTTCAGTTGTTCCCAGCTGGAGTTTGCAGTATATTATGGTACCTTTGAATCCATCAGATGTGTGGGAAGCTTTCATTTTATTCTATATTTTTTCCCTTTTAATTTTCTCGGTGTTTTTCTTCCTTCCTCCTGGGTGTAACGTTTTCACGCACAGATGTCTCCTCGCTCTGCCCGGCGACGTTGGTCCATACAAGCAATTAACGACTTCCCGGTACTGTGCGCTGTCAAATGCTCTTCTTAACTAATCTTGTCTCTGCCCAAAGGCCCAAGAATAAAATGCCACCTGCCTGGCTTTGAGGAACCTGAAATGACAGTCTGGATGGTCTTTAGGACCAGCATAATCAATTTCTCACTCTTAGGAGTCAGGCCCCAGGGACTGTCCCCTGGTTCTATCAGTTTCAAATAGTTGAATACTGATATCACTAAGGATTATGAATAGACTTCTTTGAAAATGAAGCTAAATGCTAGATTTCTTGGAAAGAACCCCGATGATAAGCCTTTAGTTCACCTGATTTCACTTGGAGTATTTGTATAATTTCATAGAACTTTTAAAAGCCCACGTTTGGCATGGTGGGGCAGCAGAGGAAGATGTAAGAGGCTTCTGCCATTCTGTCTCTGTTTTTATCATCTTGCTTATCGAGTTCAAAGAGGGAAGTGCCCACCTGCTTCCTTGGCGTGATACTGAAGTTAGATTTTAATCCTTCGGGAAGTTCCTGGAATAAATTTTTTTCCTTGCCATCAATATTTTGCATTGACAGTAGAACTTCTGCAATGGACATCTTCTTTTCCTTTTCTCTTGCTGACTCTCTCCTCTTCTGTCTTCCTCTCCCACCCGCTTCATGTTTCAGTCGTGCCATAGAAACCTCAGGCTGTGCAAGGCAGCAGTCTTGAGGCTTTTGTGTAAATTTCCTTATAGGGGGATCGTCCCGTAGCCTTTTCATATAAAAGCCAGTTGAAATCAGGAAGCCTGATTAGCAAGTGCCGCTGCTGCCCAACACCTTGGAGGTGGAGCCACCTCTCTGGCCACCTTTCCTCAGAGAGCCTGTCCTACCAACCCAGCTGCTGTGTTTCCACTGATTTTCCAGGAGTCCCTGCTCCCCCTGCTATTTACATAGGAACTCATTTTGACTCACTTCCCACTCTGCTGATTATTATGCATTGTTGATGGGGTTGCTGCGAAGCAGTTGGTGGCTTATTCTTGGGCTGTTTTTACATTTAACCCATTTATTGGCATCAATGTTGCCTCCGATTGTAGCAGTAACACTGGTGGTTCAGTCGCAAGCTGGCTATTGGTTGTCATTCAGTGCTCTCTGCACCAGTGCCTCCCTCCTCGCCCCCTTCTCCCCACCCCAGTCCTCGCTGTCCTCTTTCCTCTAATTCCATGAACACCTTCTTGGTCTGTTCAGAGGAGCATCCCGGTCTCATGGTGTGTTTACTTGTCTGTCTTGCTTTGTCTCTCCTCCCTTGATCCCTGCTCATGGAATCTGTGGGGAAGGGGTGTTTTCTATTGATGGGGCATTGAGATGACCTAAGAGAAGTGCAGAGTCCTTTGCCTCCCAGAGGTACTGATTTTACTGCACAGAAAAGTATCCACATTTAAGCCCATCAGAGTGGGACTGGAGCAATGCAGGAGGTTTAGGGGGCTTTGGGGCCCCAGTACCCTTTTCTCACCTGGAAAGGTCAGCCATACCTCATCCCAGTGATCATGGTTGTCATCACCTGATAGTGACTCAGACCAGATAGATTATCCTAAAATCACCAGCAAGATACTAGGGCAAAGAAGTCATGGGGAGGTGTGGATAAGATATGAACCATTTTTGTTGCCAAAGCACTGGAGGGAACACCCTGAAACACTGTCCATGCTTGTTAGGGAGCAATAGGGACCTAGGCCCTGACACCTGATTTGAAATCTACTGCATCTTCATTTAGGCAGCCTTGTTGGATCTGAATCCCTAGAATAACTGGCCCAAGACAGGATTACTGAGTGGCCTCGTAGCCTTAATGGGAGATAGCTCATATTTAAAAACCATCTTTGTTTCACCCTAGATAGTATACAACAACAACAACAAAATAATAATAATAAAAAAATAAAAGCCATCAACCCCACCCAAAATTAAAACAAAAAAAATTTTGTGATACCTCCCCTTTAAAGATTTTTCAATAATGTTTTCTGGTTATTCTTGCTGGATTAAATGAACAAAAAGAGCTGTCCCTTTATTGTCTCTGCAGTTTGATTCTTGGTGGCAGCTGTCATTAGGATGATCCTATGTTAGGGACTCTCCTTCTGTTATAGGCTCAAAGGCATCTTATGTAAAGCAGTCCCTGTACATTAGTATAGATCAAACAGAGAAGCACCTGGAAGCCTCTCAAGAAATTGATAGGGAAGTCCCAGGAAATACAGATTGTGATTTCTGTAATTCAGTTAAGGGTAGTTGCAGAAAGTTGCCCAGACCACTGTCTGCATTTTCATCAAGGACTAATTGATGACTCACATGGACCTGTTTCTACCTATTTTAACCAAGACTGCAAATGGGAGAAGAGCCCTGAAGCATCTCTTTGGACCCTGAGTTTTCTTTTCTCTGAATGTGTCCAATCCTAACAAATCCCGAAAGGAAATTAAACAGCTTGAGGTACAGGCTTGTGAGCCCAGCCTGGAACACAGCAACTTTGTCTGAGCCCGGTGTGTGAAGCCCGATAGCCTCAGGAGCAGTTTGCCTCTGCCCGTCTCCAGCACACTGCTCTGACTCCACAGAGCTCAAGCCAGTGCTTGGCAGAGAAGTGTCTTTACACGTGCATAATTAGAAGACGGTATGTTGAACAGGCCTCACTAGAATCAGTTATTGATCTCCTTATATGCAGAAATGGATCCATTTTTATATTGACCAAAACTGTTTATGTATTAACAGGTAGCTTAGGACTTAATCCCGCCCCCCCCCCCCAACCTTTAAAATCATACTTTTAAAAATGGTTAACAAGTATGGGCTTAGCAGCCTGACACCTGTGTTCAAATCTCAGCTCTAGGAGTACAGCCTTGAGTAAGCTCATGTCCTCATTGGTCAAGTCTGGGACTCTCTCATTTCCCAGGTACCGTGTCCTCTATGTCTGTTTTAGGGAAGGCTCTGGGGAAACAGGACAGTTGCTTGTGGCCTATCACTCTGGTCCCTCTGCTCAAATATTTTTGACATTCTGAAATTGATTTTTTGCTTAGAAAACATTCTTATATGAACTAGTCTATTTGCAAATGAACCACTTTGGGCACATGGACCTTGATTATTATTATGTTTTCATTAGGTTTGCTTAAAAAGTCAAGAAATTGTGGATGTTTCAGTGTGGTCTGAACGCTGCAGACCCCATCCCTCATGAATCCTCCATTGACTTCCACTGTTCAGTTAAATGGAGCTGGCATAAAATTCTCAGTTGTTGAAGGGCTTCTTCTTTGCTCTTTGTAATAAGGAGCCAGAATCAATGCCTTGAAAGCAGTGCTAGAAGCCTTTCAACCAACCCAGAAGACCCAATTAGATGGATCATATTTGACTCCAGATTGAAACTGTTGAGTGTAAATGTTTTTTGGGTTTTTTTCTGCCTTAAAAAAAAATCCAGTACCCTAAATCTCACTGGAGATGACTGATTATGTGGGATCTTGCGGGTGTGTCATTTCCTGGGATTTTTAAACTCCCAGAAACCTGGATAAAAGTCACACTGAAGTGAGTTTGTGGACTTATCCCCTCCCCGCTCTAGTTAACCACGTTGTTTGTCCTGTCACTGCTGGGTTGGTGGACATCGAGTGTCCCTCCTGAAAACCAGCCCTGGTGCTCAGGGCACTTGCGACTGCATGGTCTCGTGTCAGTGAATGCTGCCTGGCTCCAGTCCATCCTGACAAGCTCTTTGGTCATTAGCACAATCACCCCTTATTTAGACCCACATCAGTATTCTTTAGAAAATAAGCTGGGCCAGCAAAGAATTGAAGGGCTACCTGCTAATAATAGTTGTAGCTTCTTGTATTGAAGAATAGTGACTTGTGTATGGATACACAGTATTAATAACTGAACTGCTTCTAAAACCAAATGGGTTAAGGTTGATAGCACGTATGTTTATATATATATATCCAAATTGATAGCATATATGTTTACAAATTATTATGAACAATTCAGATACTTCAGTTAAAGGTCTGCTTTTACCTGTCATGCACTGACTCTAGGTTTCCTAGATTTAGTAGGTTCTATGCCACTTGCTGATCCTATAGAAAATTACATGCATTGGACAACTTTAGGGATTAGATGGGACATCAGTGGTTAGAAATACCTGAATACAGACCATGACTGATTTATGGGAGAGTGATTGTATCAGAATCACTGGTGGAAAAGGAATTTATCTGTGAGTCATCTAAGTAATTATCTAACCTACATGCTGGAGAGTTTACAGACATTTATAAAAGTTAGAGATTTTTAAATTGCACCTTTCCAGGTGATACTTTGCACCCTCACCTTTTCATTGTCTGTTGATTAACCTTGTGAGATTGAAACCACAGAGATTGTCCTGAGGCCAAAGTTACCAAGTGAGCAAAGAGAGAGTGACCAGAGCCTGCATCCACCACAAAAAAGAAACATGCTGGGGATCACACCGAGCCAGGGCCTGTGGCAATAAGACCAGTAAACCTTGCTCTGGTAGTATAACCAGGCCCTTTCATGAGCTCCTTTTGCCTCCTTTGTTAATAAATATGTCACTTCCCTCCTGAGTTGAATCACTTAGTTGACCCCCTTTCTAACTTCTGGAAATAAAATAAAATAGAATATTGTTCCCTTGGCTGGTCGCCATTTTGCAGATACCAGATGGGGCTACACTCTCATAATTCTCATTCTCTAAGACATCTCTCATTTCCCACATACAGACTTCTCTGCAGGCCTTTGTAGGGAAGGCTCTGGGGAAATAGGATAATTGCTCCTGATCTTCCATGTTCATTACCCAGGTCCCTCTACTCAGGTATTTTTGACATTCTAAATGATCGCTTTTAGAAATAACTCAGATCTGCTAGGAAAACAGGGCAATTCTCCTTGAACTGCTAAGTTTCTGTGTCTGCCTCCCATAGATGAAGGTTTGCAGATCCTACACTACTGTGTCTGAATTAAATTTCAACAAACTTGATTAAAGCTATCTGAAAAGGAAAAAAACCCAAAACTTCGATTAATTTAAAGCAAGAATTTTGAACCTAGGACTGAACCCAACCTTAAAAGTTGCTCTTAAAAAAAAAGTTGCTCTTCTCCCACATTTTTGTGGTCTTATACTAACGTATTTACCTGCTGTTCTTTCTTTTTTTAAATTTTGGCTTCAAGGTATTTATTTTTGAGCACCTGCAGAATGTATATAGCATTGCAGTAGGTGCTTATTTTACTGTTAGGATTTTGGATCATGAGCTCAATGCCCTTTGTCATTTTTATTTCCTACAGATGCTGATTCATTTAATTGTGGGCATGATGTAATGCAAAGTCTCTGCAAATTACCAATGACCCAACAATGATGTGCTCTGCAAGTGTAGGTTTCCATTCATCAAAGTCCCCATTAGTTATATCTTGTCATCTCCCCCAGAAATCAAGGAGATGGAAAAGTAAGCGTGAAGGATCAGACTCTGGCAATCGACCAATCAAGGCTGCTGGGAAAGTGATCATTCAGGATATTGCTTGCCTTCTTCCGGTTCACAAGTCATTGGGAGAACTATACATGTAAGTTCAGAATTTCAACTATGCTGTGCTTCTCACTTAGTCATGAGTATCAGAGTTGTTCATTTTATTTTTTGGCTGCTCTGTGGCTTGTGGGATCTCGGTTCCCTGACCAGGGATTGAACCCAGGCCACCGCAGTGAAAGCCCAGAATCCTAACCATTAGGCTGCCAGGGAGCTCCATATTTATTTTTTGAGGTATTGGAATCTTTTCTTCAAGAGCAGTTTTAGGAGAGGTCCAGTGCATTAGCTTTCTTCTGCTGGATAGCGAAATTACCACACAGACCTAGTATTTAAATAACACGCATTTATTATCTCACAGTTCCCCTGGGTCAGGAGTCTGGGCTTGGCTTACCTCGGTCCTTGCTCTTATCTCCCCAAACTAAAGTCACAAAGTTGCCGGGTGGCAGTTTTAGCCAGTGCTCAAGGTCCTCTTCCAAACCCATGGAGGTTGTTAGCAGGATTCAGTTCCTTGCAGCCAAAGAACTCAGGGAATTTCATCTGTTCAGAGACTAGCAAGAGTGTCTCAGTGATGCTTTAGCTTCTTTCTAAGGTCTTGTCTGTTTAGGTCAGGCCCCATCCAGGAGAATCTCCCTTTTGGCAATTATGGGAGTGATATCCCATCAGTATTTACTCATCTCTCCAGATGAGAGATCTGCTTTATACAAGGCACATACAGCAATCTTGGGTACAGTCTTAGAATTCTGCCGCCTGCACTCAGTATGTAAAACATTTAATAGCAAAGCCACTTTGGTTGAAGGGAGGTGGGAGGTTGAGTGACAGGCACACAGACGCTGCTGGCCTGTGGTTCCCTGTCTTCCAGAACTTGAATGCATAACAAAAAATATTTCTTTTGTTGTATGTACAGAGCACATTACCCCTTTTGTTAGAAACTACAGTCGGTATTACACACATTTAAATCAAGTTTTATTCAACCCTTAAGCCTAGGGAACTCCCCAGGAAAGCTGGCTGGCAAATTGGTCTTTGAGTCTGGCCTCTTTCCCTGACTTCAAAGAGGTGAGCAATTTCACCTTCCCCAGGCCTGAATTCAGAGTGTAACATCAGCTGTGATGTTGGGTAAGGTAAGCTTTTACTGCATATTATGTAGAAAAGGAGCTTAAGGCCAATACAAATAAAACATTTTGAGTGACAACCTAAAGAGACAGTTTTTAGTTTGTTTGTTAAGCAGGAAGTAGTTGATTTAGAAGTCAGCTAGAAAGCAGCTTTTTAATTCTTTTTAAATTTCAGATTGAATGTGAATGATATTCAAGAAACGTGTCAGAAGAATGCCGCTTCTGCCTTGCTTGTTGGAAGGAAGGATCTTGTCCAGGTATTTTCCATCCCTTTTGTTGGAATTCTGGATTTTTCCTTTGGAGCAATTTCTATTCACTTTATGGTTGTAGTTTAGTGACATTTTAAGGTGTGCCTCCTATTTTGTAAATTTTTTTCCATTTTCTTTGCCAAACTCTAGGGCTGTTGCAACTGTCTAAATTCCTTGGATATTTCTCTTATTAGTGCTTAGTTGAGAAAGTCCTAAAGCATTTACAAAGTATTTTTGTAACAACACTTTTCTAGTGTTTGGTGATGGTTAATAAATTTGGATATCTTAATCTTTGCCATTTGCACCCTCAGTTCTGTTTCGTTTTTACTTTTAAAAGTGTATCATTTCATACAAGGTTTACAAAGGCAGTCCTTAAGATGGAGATACGTTGAGTCCTAAAATATGATGTTATATTACAAAATTTAAATTTCCTTCATTTCTGCAGGAACACATTAGTGCATTAAGCATGTTACACCTATGTTGGTGGACTTTTTTGTTGTTGTTTTCCTTTCCTTTTTTTTGGCCACATTGCACAACTTGTGATCTTAGTTTCCCACCAGGGATTGAACCCATGCCCTCAGCACAGAAAGTACAGAGTCCTAACTGCTGGACCGCAAGGGAACTCTCAGTGTCATTATTTTTTTTAAATAGTTTTATTGAGATTGTAGTCCAGAGCACATGCAATTCACTCATTTAAGAGGTACCATTCGGTGGCCTTAGTATATTCACAGCATTTTGCAGTCATTGCCACAAGCAATTTTGGAACGTTTCCTTTACCCATAAAGGCTCACTCTTCCATCCAGCTCTTTCCAGCCCCTAGTTTATGCTCTGTTCCACCCTTTGTCCTGCAGTGCACAGATTAGACCGAGCAGTGGGAACTGCTAGCTGTTCTGTCTGCTTAGTTTTCTCCTTGTAGCCTTCCAAATGACCCAGGACTAAGGCCTTCCCTTGGTTTTTTTAAGTTTCTTTTTTTTTTCCTTCCAGTATTATTATTATTTTTTTTTTTGATGTGGACCATTTTTAAAGTCTTCATTGAATTTGTTACAATATTGTTTCTGTTTTCTGTTTTGTTTTTTTGGCCCCAGGGCACCTGGGGTCTTAGCTCCACAACCAGGGATGCAACCAGCACCCGCTGTGGGGAAAGGCAAAGTCTTAACCACCAAACTGCCATGGAAAACCCTTTCCCTTGATTTTTATCTGATTGAAAAATCCCTTAAGATTTTCTTTTGTCTCCTACTAAACACCATCAAGTCTCTGCTTCAGACCCTTTTAAGTAAAACTTTCAGTCATGAATTTAATCTGTCTTTTTAAGAACCGAGCCACCTAAAATTCTGCAAACATTGAGAAGGCAAAACAAAGTACTGGAACTAGTGGGGAATTTCTAACAGCGAGTGTCAGCCCAACTCTGCTCCCTCGTGGTGTAACCATGGGCAAAGGATTTCAGATTCTCTCAGCCACTGTGTGTATTTGTCAAAATGAGACCCACAAGAATAATTACCTCATAGGGTTGAAGAGAAGATTGGTTTACTTTCTAGAAAGACAGTCTCTGAGGAAAAATTACTTCCTACAGTGTTTTGTTTTTTTCACTTTTTCTTTTAAATTTTCAGTACTTTTATGGCAGAGTTGACTTGGAAGGTCAGGCTAGTCCAAGTGAAGTGAAGCAGAAAGACCCTTTCCTGGGGCTCAGACACACCTGGATTTACATCTGGGTTCTGTCCCTTTCATGTTGTGTGATCCTAGGCAGCTTCTTAATCATTTTGAACTTCATTTCCTGAACTCTAAAATAGGAATAATACTTCTGCTTCTGAGGTCCTTATGAGAACTCAATAAGGTAATATATATACAATTTCCATACCTGTATCTCATAGGTGTAAATATCCAATATGTGGCAAATGATTGCTGCTATTCTTGCAGTTCTAGTCATCACTGTGGTATGGTCTTGCTTAAAGGGCTGGGAATGACATCAGTGCTAATGCTTGGAGAGTTTTTTTTATTCTTTATTCACGTGTTGAAGATGATGTGTCACCTGCTTTGCAAGAAAGATTTGCAGAAATAAACCTAAGTATCAACTATTTCTGTTGAAGGCACTTAGGAAACGTGTATTATAAATGAGAAAATAATGGGCCCAAGTTGTCAGCCAGGATAGTAAGTCCTTTCTCATCCCAGAAACCTCTTCTAGCAACCATCCAGCTGGGCCACTGATAATAGAAATGAATGTTTTTCATTTGAACCAATACTCATAGGTGTTATTGGAGCCACACGATTTAGTTTATTTATTTATTTATTTTTAACATATCTGATGTGTTTCTGTTCCTGTTTTTCAGTGTTTTTATTTGCTTATTTTTTTTATTCTGTTTTAAACTCCTGATTAAAAGCCTGTATCTTTTTCCTTTTGAGTTTCTCTCTGAGTCTAGTAGTGTTTTCCAGTTAGTGGGCATATAATACTAAGAAAAAAAATTCCAAAAATATATTCCATTTTTATAGGTATGGAGGGGATGGGGACTCTGTTGATGGTGTGATGTATTTGTATTTAGGGTGTGCCAAATCTTGGATTTAATATACACCTTATGGACTTTAAGGTGTCTTGATGAGTCCAAGCCCTGTGAGATTTCAAATTTGGAGATATTCCTCACATTTGATGTCAACAAAAAGAAAGCTAGGTCTTGGTCTATTTTTCTGTAGCTTCAGAGAGTGTACTGAAACTTTCATAATGAAAAGTTTTCCATTATTTGAAGAAAGGACAGATCTTCAGTGTGATATTCAATGTATTTTTTTTTCCCTGCCAGTTCGCTAATGAAGCAGCAGAAAAAGATACATGAGTCATTGGTTGAATAGACGACCCATGGAAGTTACTGTATAGTGTCTGCTTCTTAAAAGTTTTTAAGGCTAGTTTTTTTCAGATGGGGATACAGGTCCCCCGAGAATCTTGCAGAAATGCAAATTCTGATTTCAGTAGGTCTGGCTAACTCTGCATTTCAATAAGCCCCCAGCTTTGGCCTCCCCCAGAGTGGCAAGGCTTTAGACTGTGTATGGAGGTGGCGGGGGGGGGGGGGGGGGTGGGGGGGTGGTTCTTTCCTGGTTCCTGGTCCTCTGCTCGCCAGTCTGAGTGTGGCTGTTTCTCTTTGATCTGTCCAGGTTTGGTCGCTGGCCACAGTAGCCACAGATCTTTGCCTTGGTCCGAAGTCTGACCCGGATTTGGAAACACCCTGGGCTCGACATCCATTTGGGCGACAACTGCTGGAGTCCCTGTAGGTTTTGAGAGCTAAAAGTGAGGAAAATGAGTGGTGTCACTTTTAGGTCTGTAAATGCTTTCAGTGTTATTGTCTGAAGTACAAAGCCCTGAGGCACGAGAAGAGGAAGTGAGACCTTTCCTTTTAAAGTTGCAGTAATTTCTGTGCAGAACTGATTTCTTAGAACAGGAGGAACTATACAATATTTGTCATTTATAACGAGGATTTTAGACTCAGGTGTCCTTGAGAGAGTTATGCTTCATCCCAGAAGTCGTATCTGCCTGAACACAGAGCTCCTGAGGTAGAAAGTTTGTTGAGGTGCTAGAGAACCTCAGCCCTGGGAACAGGTTAGAGAACTGAATGTTGGCTTTGTGTTGTGTTCACCCTACTAGACAGTTTATGAAAATACTGAGTTTGATTTATTGCACTAAAGTATGACTAACAGGAAATACAACGTGCAAAATGATTTACAGCCAGGAAAAATCACTGGAGCCTCCATGACAGGGAGGCCCAGGTCCTGAAGAGAGATGGAGAAGCTCTCCTTCCTTCAGGTGGAGGCTCGCTTTACCTGCTTGAGGCGAGATCTGGGATGCTTGCTCACTCTTCAGGTGCCTCATGGGGTAACACAGGATAATGATGTTTGTTCTACGCACTTCCTAGGAGGCTCATGAGAAAGTGTGAAAACACCGTAAAACTATTAGACTTTGCTTGTTAGGAAAGTATCGATACTATTCCATTTCAAAGGCCAAGTTCCTGGGATCTCTACCTCACCTTCTGGGGCAGTTGTTCTGAAAGGAGCAAAGGGGAAGTGAGGACCTAAGAGGTAACAAAACTGTTCTGTTGTTCTTATTTAATAGCTCAGACTCATAATGCCGCCTCTGGAATCTGACCTGCTCCCCATTTCACTGAGCACTTTCATGTAGCCTCAGGCTCTATGAATGGAGGACTTGGAAACCCCCAGAAAGCAGTGTGATGCCTCCTTGGAGTTGGGGAGGCCTCACTCAGATGTGAGTTGAGTCTCCCTGATCCTCAGAGAAACTTCATTCAAGCCTGAGCCCAGGCCTGGGTGCCTACCAGGAGTTTTCAGATGGGTTATCTAGGTCATGTGTGATACTCTTGGTAGGTGTTATTCCAAAACAAGTCGATCAAGCCGCTGGGTCTGTAGAAAGCTCTTGTTCCTGATGGTGGCTTTTGAGGCAGAATCAAGAATTCTCCCTTCTTTTATAGTTTATCATAGGGTACTGAATATAGTTCACTGTGCTATACAGCAAGGCCCTTGTTGTTTATCCATTCTATATAAACTATAATGGAAAGGCATATGAGAAAGAATGTATATATATGTATAACTGAAGCACTTTGCAGTATAGTAGAAATTAACACAATGTTGTAAATCAACTACACTTTAGTAAAGTTAATTTTTAAAGCACCTCTTCCTTCCTTCCCCTATGGGAGTAGCCCGCCACAGCCGTGACAGCCACCACTCCCCGTGCCTGCTCACGACTGCCCTCGCGCCCCTCTCTCCGCAGACTGGCTCATTACTGCCGGCTCCGGGATGTGCAGACGCTGGCCATGCTCTGCGGTGTGTTCGAGGCCCAGTCTCGGCCGCAGGGGGCACTTCCCCAATGGGGGTAGCCCGCTGCAGCCGCAGGGGGCACTTCCCCGATGGGGGTAGCCCGCCGCAGCCGCATCCGTGACCGCCACCACTCCCCGTGCCTGCTCACGACTGCCCTCGCCCCTCTCTCCACAGACTGGCTCATTACTGCCGGCTCCGGGACGTGCAGACGCTGGCCATGCTCTGCAGCGTGTTTGAGGCCCAGTCTCGGCCGCAGGGGATTCCAAACCCTTTCGGGCCTTTTCCCAGCCGCTCAGCTAACCTTGTGGTGTCCCACAGTCGATATGTAAGCTGGGGGTTTCCTGGTCTGAATCTGGCTTTTTGCAAAGGTCAGCTGTCATGGGAAGTGGCCCTCTCATGCTGCTCCCGCTTTCATTGCAGCCCAGCTTTACATCCTCAGGTTCCTGCTCGAGCTTGTCCGACCCGGGGTTCAACACTGGTGGCTGGAACATAGGTCAGTATGGAACTGCCTTAGCCCATGCTGAGGTTTTATACTTTCAGTGATTTAATATGTGATCTTTAGCTGATGAATAATCTTCATATTTTCCCTCGTTTCTCATTGCCTTGTATGTATTTATTTACTTTTTTATTTTTGGCTGTACTGTGCACCTTATAGGGTCTCAGTCTCCCAACCAGGGATTGAGCCCCGGCCCCAGCAGTGAAAGTGCCAAGTCTAACCCCTGGGCTGCCAGGGAGTCCCTCACTGGCCTTTAAATCGAGTATGGTGGAGATACCATAGTCAGCAAGGGCTGAAACATGGCTTTTGTGTTTGAGCAGGCTGGTTTCTGCTGTCTCTCTGCCTTGCTTGGTTACTCGCTTGGTAACCTCGAGAAACTGACAGTGGAGCTTTCCATTGTCCATCGCCAAGCCCCAACCCTTGTCCTTTATGCTGCACAAGCCCCTTCCCTGATCATCTGCCACTCCTGTTATCTCCCTGTCCCCATGAACCTCCTTCAGGGTAGAGAAGTAAAGCTGAGCCTGGTCCCACCTGGCCGTAAAGGTCTGTTTAACCAGTAGGTGTATATGTGTTTTCTGGATTTTTAAATTTTCTTTTTAAAAGTGATTTTAATTCTGTTGATTACAGAAGTACTATTTGCCCAGTGAAGAAAACAAATGTTGGTGGAGAAAATACTAATGGTTGATTTCCCTGCCTAGAAACGAATAACATCTGTTAACATTTCAAGACATTTCCTTCCAGTCTGTGTGTGTGTGTGTGTGTTGGGGGCCGGGGTTGGAGGGCACATCTTTCTATATTTGTGATTTTATGTTCTATTTTTTATTTTATCATGAGTATTTTCTCATGCCATTTAAAGAGCTTTTTAAAATAAGTAATGCCTGCCTAATAATCTATATCATGCTTATAATTTGCTTAATCATTGTGTGTGTACCTAATTATCAAGTTACATTAATAGTAAATACCTAGGCAGAAAGGTAAGGCTAGGAAAGTGTTCTGTTTAGTTCTAGGACTTCTCAGAATCTTCAACTTAGCTTATTTTCCTTCCAGGAAGTAAATAGGACACATGTGCATCATGAGAGTTTTCAGGTTATTTCCCATGCCTTCTCTAATTTCCATCTTCCCTTCCCATTTGATTTTCTTCAGTGGGAAGAGAAACAGAACACCTGTCTTCACCTTGGGGAGAGTCCTCACCAGAAGAAATCCGCTTTGGGAGTCTGACCTACAGTGATCCTCGTGAGCGAGAGCGTGATCAGCATGATAAAAATAAAAGGTAATGACCTTCCCAGCCAGGAGCTGTAGTTCTGTGATGCTTAGATTCTTCCCACATTGGGACTCTCGCTTTTAAGAAAGGTATTTGCTGTACTTAGTCACTCAGTCGTGTCCGACTCTCTGCCACCCCGTGGACTGCAGCCCACCAGGCTCCTCTGTCCATGGGGATGCTCTGGGCAAGAATACTGGAGTGGGTGGCCATGCCCTCCTCCAGGGCATCTTCCCGACCCAGGGATGGAACCCAGGCCTCCCACATTGCCGGTGGAGTCTTTACCGTCTGAGCCGCCAGGGAAGCCCTAAGCAAGGTGTATTAAGTGCCATTCGGCATCAGGCTTGTTCCTCTTAAAGGAACTGACCCGATGCGCTTTGCATTTGACCCAGGCTGCTGGACCCTGCTAATGCCCAGCAATTCGATGACTTTAAGAAGTGCTATGGAGAGATCCTCTACCGTTGGGGTCTCAGGGAGAAACGAGCCGAAGTGCTGAAGTTTGTTTCCTGTCCTCCTGACCCTCACAAAGGCATTGGTAAATGTGAATTTCTTTCTGTTCTCGTCACTCTCTGAAAGGCTCTATGATTTAATGTGTCCATACCATAATCCTGGGGGTGAATTTCGAGTGTCTCATTTACAAGTGGAAATTTCTGAAGTATTTTGAGTCTGTGTTAAGTTATTGAAAACCCTGGCATTTCATGAGACAATTACATTTTCACTGTAAAGGAAGAAGTTGTCTGTTCAATCCTCAGATATTGATCGGCAGTAGGGATATTTATTCAGTTACTCAACTGACGTTTGTCAGACTCCTCTTAGTCGCAGTGCTAGCACACTCCTTTGTGGCAACTCCTAGGCCAGTTGGGGAGAAAAATAATTACAAGCTGTGATCAGTATTTATGAGCAAGCAAAAAGGATGTTGGGTCAGGGGAGCAGGGAGGGAGAATTTTAGCAGACATTTTGAGCTGCATTGGGAAGTCTGTCTGAGGAGCCGAGGTCTGCAGGACAGGATGGAGCCACCTGTGCACAGGAGAGTCGCATGAAGGGCATCCCACTCAGGAGCGGCCCCGTAGGGGAAACAGCTTGTTAGTTTGAACAAGTGAAGGAAGACCAGTGTGCTCGAACACAGTGAGTGAGAAGAGTGCTGAAAAACTAGACCACAGGGTAGTCAGGGACTTGAAAGTCATGGTAAAGAACTTGGATTGTATTCTAAGTCCAGTGATGAGTTTCAAAGGATATTAAGAAGTAAGTGATATGACTCTCGTAACAGTCCAGTGGTCAGGAATTTGTGCTTTCACTGTTGTGGGTCTGGGTTCAATCCCTGGTCAGGGAACTAAAATATTGCAAGCTGTGTGTTGTGCCAAGAAAACAGTAGTAAGGCCAAACTAACAGGGAGGGAGCATAGCTCCACCCAGCAGCAGACAGCTGGAACAAGTGGTATGCTTCAGTTTTCACTGCAAGAGGATTTCTTTGGCTATTATAGGAAGAAAGGATTGGAGGAGGACAGAAGTAGAGGCAGAAAGGGCATTTGAAGACTGTTAAGGTGGTCAGAGAGAGAAGGATGGCCTGGTCTCAGGTGTTATCAGGGGAGGTGGACAGAGATGGATGAAGTAAAAATGCATGTCAGAGGTAGACTCAATATCCATATGTCTTACTGACAAGTTGGATGTGGGCTTGAGGACGAGACAAAGCTTAAATGGTCCTAAACTTCCAGCTTGAACTGGAAATGGTGATGCCATATTCTAAGATTAGAAAAGATTGGAAGAAAATTGAAAACTCAGTTTGGAATAGTAGGAAATGTTGAGGTTCAAACTGTAGAAATCATGTAGACAGTTGGATATGAGTCTGGAGCTTAAAGGAGAGTTTAGGGCTAAAACTAGGAATGTGGGAATATTTAGCCTGTTAATGGTATTCATGCTGTGAGCATTGAGTGCATTTACCTGGGAACTATGGGGTGGAATGGGCTCTCAAATAAGAGAGCCCACTGATTCTGGGCCTTGAGAGAAACCAGTAGTTGGAGCTTGAGTCTTGGAGAAAGAACCAGAAACAGACTTTGAATGAGATACTAGTGTGTTTTGAGGAAAAGCAAGACTATGATATCAAAGAAGCTAAGAGAAGAGATGTTTTCTAAAGATTGATATAAGAGAAACATAAAGAATAGACTGAACACATATTGATTTCCTTTCTCCCCGAGACCTTGCTGAAGTGTCTACATAGAGCTTTTATGAAAAGACATAGCTGTGCAAGGAAAAGTAATATTGGCAATAAAATTTGGGACCTGGGTTACAGATAGTTAGTGGTAGCTGATTTTACCGAGAAGGAGCTGAATGCTGAACTGGCAGGCAGGAAAACAGTAACACACATGGATAACCCCATGTAACTAATCCCATGGACTGTAGCTCGTCAGACTCCTTTGTCCGTGGAATTCTCCAGGCAAGAATACTAGAATAGGTTGCCATTTCTTTCTCCAGGGGATCTTCCTGACCTAAGGATCAAACTCGGGTCTCCTGCATTGCCAGCACATTCTTTACCATCTGAGCCACCAGGGAAGCCCAGCACACATGGTAGAACCCCCAAATATTTCAGGAATTATAAGTACCCAGAACTTCTGCAAGTAGCAGGAAGGGGAGGTCAGAAACAGGAGCCTTGTATGATGGCCTTTATAGGGTTCCCAGATCCCCACTCCTAGTTTGCAAAGCGGTTTTCACCCTTTCCCTCCCCCAGCAGAAAACTGGAAGTTCACTGTCTAGAAAAGGTGTACACATTTCCTGATAAAGGGCTGCTACGTAGCTAGTATATGAATGAAGAAGGACCCGGGGATCTAGAGAAGATCCTAGAAGTTTCCAGAGAGAGAAGATGAGTTGCCTGCAAAGAATAAGAATACGAATAGCATCACACTTCTTGGGAGCCCTGAACTAGATCCTGAAGCTGGACAACAACAGTGCAGCAGTGCCTTCCCTGGCCTCAAAAAAACGATCCTCTTAGAATCCCTTAGAATCTAACCTAGAGTTCTGTACCCAGGTCATCCTTTAAGTGTTAGAGTAAACCTTCAGCCTATCTAAGGAGGAGGAATAGATGCAAAGCCAGGAAGCCAGGGTGTCAGGACGATGATGAAGGGAGATGTACTTGACAGACCTGGAGACACACCAGTCCAGGTTGGAGCTTCAGAGTGTTGTCCCCAAGAAAAAATACCTAGTGTGTTTCAGTATTCAGTGTATTTCTAAAAGATTCAGATGTTTGGAGATAAATTGTCAATAAGTACATGATTAAGCAAAGGAAAAAACAACACTAACTCTGGGAAAAACAAAATGTGCAAGAAAGAAAGGAAATCATCATTGTATGTGGTTTGGCTTAATACTTACCTAGAGAAGTAACGTAAAAGCAATATTAATCCAACCAAATGATAATAGAGCTGTGGGGGAAGAAGAGGAACAAGTGGTCTATGAGTCTGGTTGGGGAAATTGGAGAGTGAAAGAACTTCCACTGGGGAAGGTCAATAGACAGTGCTTAAATATGACAATTAAGAAATAACTAGGGAGGGGACATATATATACTTGTGGCTGATTGCTGTTGATGTATGGCAGAAACCAACACAATATTTTAAAGCAATTATCCTCCAATTGAAAAGAAATAAATTTTTTAAAAAAGAAATAATTTTATAAACATGTGTAGAGATAGGGAGATAAAAACAGAAGAAATAGTTAAATGGGTTGGAAGAATTTCCTCTAGGGAGTGATGGGTGTGGGAGTGGAAGGGAATGCTGGTTTTGATAATACAATGTATAGAATAATTTGGTTCTTTAAGTTGTGTGAATATAGTTTCAGTTAAATAAAAACCAACCAAAATAATACATAGATTTAAATATTGAATAAAAGGATTATTTTAATATGGGTTATCTTGGTGCATGTACATGAAGAAGTACAGACACAAAATGTTATTTGGGTAATCTATAATATTTTTCAGAGCATCTACAGGCATGCAGGTATATCAGGGAAAGATTAGTGATGGCCTCCTGCAGTTTGTCTTTTAAATAGTTTTCAGGTAAATAAATGAATCACAGAGATATGTCGCTGATGTGTCAGCCCATCAATCAGCTAGACTTTTTGACATCTCCTGTTTGAAAGGTTGTGTTGGGTTCCTTGGGCTGGACAAAGGACTTTAAAGTCTGGTTTGGGGTTGAAGTTGTTCAGGAAGTCTTTAATCCGTACTCCTTTGATTACAAATCAGGGTGTCTGCTCCCCTCCAGTTCCGTTTTTTCTTTCTCAGGATTGCTTTGGCTATTCAGGGTCTTTTGTGTTTGCATATAAATTAAACAATTTTTTGTTCTAGTTCTGTGAAAAATGTCATTGGTAATTTGATAGGGATTGCACTGAAAGTGTAGAATGAGTAGTATTGTCATTTTGACAATACTGATTCTTCCAATCCAAGAATATGTTATATCTTTCCATCTGTGTGATCTTTGATTTCTTTCATGAGTGTCTTATAGTTTTCAGAGAACAGGTCTTTTGTCTCCTTGGGTAGGTTTATTCCTAGGTATTTTATTCTGGCACAAAAACAGAAATATAGATCAATGTAACAGATTAGAAAGCTCAGCAATAAACCCATGCACCCATGGCCAATTAATCTGTGACAAAGAAGGCAAGAATATATAGTGGAGGAAAGACAGCCTCTTCAATAAGTAGCGCTGGGTAAACTGGACAGCTACCTGTAAAAGAATGACATTAAAACATTCTGTAACAGCATACACAAAAATAAACTCAAAGTGGATTTTAACCTAAATGTAAGCCTGGATGGTATAAAAGTCTTTAGAGGAAAACATAGGCACAACACTCTTTGACACAGATTGTAGCAATATCTTTTTGGATCCACATCCTAGAGTAATGAAAACAAAAATAAGCAAATAGGACCTAATTAAACTTAAAAGCTTTTGCACAGCAAATGAAACTGTAAATGAAATGAGAAAGTAACCCACAGAATGGGAGAAAATATTTACAAACAAAGCAACCAACAAAGGATTAACCTCCAAAATCTACAAAGAGTTCCTGAAGCTCAGTATTATAAAAACTAACAACCTAATCGAAAAATGGACAAAGGATCTAAGTAGATATTTCTCCAGAGGAGACATACAGATTGCCAGAAAGCACATGAAAAGATGCCCAACATTGCTGATTATTAGAGAAATGCAAATCAAAACCACAATGAGGTATCACGTCACATCAGTCAGAATGGCCATCATGAAAATAATAAATGTTGGAGAGGGTGTAGAGAAAAGGGAACCCTCTTACACTGTTGGTGAGAATGTAAATTGATGCAACTGCTGTGGAGAACAATGTGGAGGTTTCTTAAAAAACTAAAAATAGAACTAGTATATGATTCAACAGTCCCATTCCTGGGCATGTATCTGGAGAAAATCCTAATTTGAAAAAATACAAACACCCCAGTGTTCATAGCAGTGCTGTTTACAGTAACCAGGACATGGAAGCAACCTAAGTGTCCATCGACAGATGAATGGATAAAGAAGATGTGTGTGTGTGAATATGTGTGTTGTGTGTGTGTATATGTGTGTGTGTGTATGTGTGTGTATGTGTGTATATATGTGTGTGTATATGTGTGTATGTGTGTATATATATGTGTATGTGTGTGTGTGTGTGTGTGTGTGTGTATACATATATATATTACTCAGCCATAAAAAAGAATGAAATAATACTTTTGTATTATCATGGATGGACCTAGAGATTATCATACTAAATGAAGTAAGTCAGACAAGAGAAAGACAAATATAATATTACTCATATGTGGATCATAATTTTTTTAAAATGATACAAATGAGCTTATTTGCCAAGCAGAAACAAACTTACAATTATTGAAACAAACTTACGGTTACAGAAGGGGAGGCATGGGGAGGAGGGACAAATCAGAAGCTTGAGATTAACGCACATGCACTACCACATATAAGGTAGGCAACCAGAACGCCCTACTGTATGTCACAGGGAACTCAATATTCTTATAACCCACATGAGAAAAGAATGAAGAAGTGTGAATATATGTGTAACTGAATCACTTTGCTGTACCCCTGAAATTAACAACGTGTAAAACAACTATACTTCATTAAAAATTTTTTTTAAGTTGTGCTTAAGAAAATATAGCTATTTTTAATCAAGATTTTCAAACCAGTTTATCTCAGGATTTACCTTAACTAGGAACTACCATGAAATGTTTTCCTTAATTACTGTGTATGTAATGCCTCTATTGGTCCATTTTTATGACTGCCTGTGGTTTTGAAGCAGAGGAGTTGGTTTTTTTTTTTTTTTGAGGAGTTGGTTCTGATAGAAGAAAGAACCCAGGACCCTTCCTCTACTGTAAGGGGTGAAAGAAGCGGGAGATGTGAAGATTTGTGGGTGTTGAGATGAAAGGAGCCCCCAGTGAAAGGCTTCTGTTTCCTTAGGGAAGGGAAAGAAGAGAGGCCGTCAGGGGTTCAGCCATTTTAAAAAATGGAACAGCAGTGGTTTAATAAGATGCACAGAGCCCTTCTGAATGAGTACATCTTTATTACTCACGATGCCCAGTTCTCGTTGCAGACCCAATCTCACCGTGTCTCTCTTTTGGCCACCTCCGCCCTCCTCCAGAGTTTGGTGTGTACTGCAGCCACTGCCGGAGTGAGGTCCGGGGCACGCAGTGCGCCATCTGCAAAGGCTTCACGTTCCAGTGCGCCATCTGCCACGTGGCTGTGCGAGGCTCGTCCAACTTCTGCCTGACCTGCGGACACGGGGGGCACACCAGCCACATGATGGAGTGGTTTCGGACTCAGGAGGTGTGTCCCACCGGGTGTGGGTGCCACTGCCTGCTTGAAAGCACGTTCTGAACTTACAGACCTTGGGAGTTGTGGGAAGTCCTAGCGGACCCATCAATGCTGGGTGACAAGCTCTCTGCCAGGAGCGAGGCTCCAGAGCCCACCTCCACCTAGACCGGGATGCGTTCCCCTCACAGATTGACATGGTGTGGGCTGTTCCTGAGCCTTTGCCTTCTCAACTCTTGGCTGTTTGTTGGTGGCGTGGATGTCGGTGGAAGAGGACTCGGGCAGGTGGAAACACCTGCCTCCAGAGCTGTGTTTACCTTTCAGATGTTGACCTCAAACCATTGACAGCATCCTTTCTGATGCCAATCACAGAGATCAAGGTCGGATGCAAAGGACAGTCTCTTGAGCCAAAGGACAGTGGACATTACTTCAGTTGACAAATGGACCTGTGACATAAGTTGGTGCATTTAATGAACTGATGGACTATGGCCTTTTAAAATACAATACTTAAATTATAAATATATAATGTACTTAAGGATCCTTAAGATGTATTTTTTTGTTTGCTATTTCTCTTCCAGCTGCTTTCCCTTGGCTAATAAAACTCTAGTAATCTTCTGGGGAAAAAAGAGATAAAAGATATAAAATATCATATTTTAGTGAATCTTTTTTTAATTCTAATTGAAAGTAACTCTTTGGGTAGGTCCAAAGCCAGTGCTCAGATTTTCAAAGGAACACTGAGTTGCTTTTGTCATCCAGGAGGGGAACGTAGAACTTGACATTTAACTCTTCCCAACTTGAAGAGTTTGTTTTTTTTTAATCATTTCTGCTAGCAAAAGGAAACTCAGATTACATGGCAGCATTGCTGTGAGAGGCTCCCGTTGCTGTTGTGCAGGTTGGCTGAGTTTCCATAAATGCTTTCCCTCTTCTTTTGGGCTGCTTCACAGGCTTCCACCCGTGTTTATCTGCATCCACCAGTTCTTCAGAAGGTGCTGATAGCTCAGTTGGTAAAGAATCTGCCTGCAACGGAGGAGACCCCGGTTCGATTCCTGGGTCAGGAAGACCCCCTGGAGAAGGGATAGGCTACCCATTCCAGTTTTCTTAGGCTTCCCTTGTGGTTCAGCTGGTAAAGAATCCTCCTGCAATGCGGGAGACCTGGGTTCGATCCCTGGGTTGGGAAGATCCCCTAGTGGAAGGGAAACGCTACCCACTCCTTCTGGCCTAGAGAATTCCATTGACTGTATAGTCCATGGGGTTGCAAAGAGTCAGACACGACTAAGTGACTTTCACTTCAGGAAAGAGAAATGCTTTTCAATATTGCTACTGAAATTTATATTTATTTCTTAGAATTTTACAATTACAGATTGATTAGCTTAAGAAATATAACTCCATGTCTCAAAATATGACAGTCTTGTACATCACTGTAACTACAGGTCAGGACTCATTAATAGATTGTGAAATCAATGTAGTGGATAAAAACCACAATTTTAAAAAAATGAAAGTAGAAGAGACATCAGAATGTACCAGTTAGGATAAACATTATTTTGTGTAACTTGTTTACAAGTATATACATACACATTTGCACATGTGTATAAAGGATCACAATATATAAATTCATTTCTTATAAGTGAATTTATAAATATAAATTCATTTCTTACTGAGGATTTTGTTCAAAACATTTTCAGAACACTTTTAATGAGGCTTATGTGATGGTCATCCCTCTGTTACTGGATATGAAAGATGACATGAGAAAAGCCTGGATCCTGTGCAGTGAAAGCAGAGGTTTAACCCTGGGCTTGGAGTCGAGGTAAGATGTCAGCCACTCTGCTGAGTGGGCCGAATAACTAGGTGCGGTAGGTGCATGGAGGCAGATAAAGGAGGAGGCCAAGAAAATCTGAATTTGTTCACTCTCTTCTGTTCACTTGTTTGTATCAACGCTGCTGTAATGGCACCACGGGATTTGTAGTAATTTGGCTAATTTGTATTAAGATAAATGTTCTATCATGTTCCTCAATGGAATCATGTCATTTGCAGAGAACAATCTTTTCCTGTTCCCCCTCTACTCAAACCGATGTCAGAATATAGTTTCTCATTCCAGTTTTAGTCCTTTGACTCTTTCCCTTATGGTGGTTATCAGTATTTTCCAGTAAGACTTGTGATTGAAAAGCACTTAAAACTTTCAAGAATAGAAGATGAATGTGAAGTCAACCATCACTTTTAAATACAACTAAAGACTCTTACTCCTTGGAAGGAAAGTTATGACCAACCTAGACAGCATATTTAAAAGCAGAGACATTACTTTGCCAACAAAGGTCTGTCTCGTTAAGGCTATGGTTTTTCCAATAGTCACATATGGATGTGAGAGTTGGACTATAAAGAAAGCTGAGCACTGAAGAATTGATGCTTTTGAATTGTGGTGTTGGAGAAGACTCTTGAGAGTCCCCTGGACTGCAGGGAGATCCATCCAGTCCATCCTAAAGGAGATCAGTCCTGAGTGTTCATTGGAAGGACTGATGCTGAAGCAGAAACTCCAATACTTTGGCCACCTGATGCGAAGAGCTGACTCGTCTGAAAAGACTCTGATGCTGGGAATGATTGAAGGCAGGAGGAGAAGGGGACGACAGAGGATGAGATGATTGGATGGCATCACCGACTCAATGGAGATGAGTTTGAGTAAGTTCCAGGATTGGATGATGGACAGGGAAGCCTGGCATGCTGGAGTCCATAGGGTCGCAAAGAGTCGGACATGACTGGACTGAACTGAACTGATTCCTGGGAGACTGGCATTACCTCCTAAACCAGATAGCAGAAATCCCCAGTGTTGCCACCAGGGGGGAAATGCCTGTTAATGTTTGGGAAGTGGTGTATGGGAAAGCCCATGGATAAATTCATTCAGATTGGACTAACAAAAAAGGCAAGAAAAGCACAGACAGGAGTATCCCGCTTTTCCTTCTATCATAAACATATTCTTACAGTAACATCCCGGGAGAAGGAAATGGCAACCCACTCCAGTATTTTTGCCTGGAGAATCCCATGGATCCAGGAACCTGACAGGCTATAGTCCATGGGGTCGCAGAGAGTCAGACACCACTGAGCAACTAATACTACCTTAATGTAACTCTTTTAACAATCTCTCTCTTTTTAATTATTTTTTTAAAGACTTATTTGTTTGGCCATACTGGGGCTTAGTTGCAGCGTGTGGGATCTAGTTCCCTGACCAGAGATCAAATTCCAGTCCCTTACATTGGGAGCGTGCAGTCTTAGCCACTGGGCCACCAGGGAAGTCCCACATAACAATCTCTTATTTGGCTTCCTTTATTTGGCTACCCAGATACAGTATAAAGGATGAGAAAACAGTTAGACAGAAGTGATGTCTCTTTCCTCTGAGCTCAGCTCTTTGGTCTCTTGGCTGTGGATTCCCACGCAGGAAAGCGCACTGCTTTCAGAAGATTGAAAGTTTGGCTGCCACCAACTCAGCCTCCCTGCTAAATACTCTGTGTCCAAACTGAGACTAACCCTAGTTTAAAGGCCAGGGGCCAGGTCAGACATCACTGTCTTCTGCCACTCTCTTAATTTAGATAGATCGTTGATGGGAGCACCCCAAAACTCTCTCTGTATTTTTTTATTCTTTTCCTAATAGAGTTCAGAAGTGAAAGAAATGGAGAAAAAGTATCTAACATTGGTATCCAAAAAACGGTCCCCAGCAAAAGATTGCTGGCTTTAAGAGGTTTGGGCCAATCTGTGTCATTATCAAATGGTTTTCCTTCTGTAAACAGTTTGTACACATTAGATGCAACAGAGTGTAAATATTTTTGCAGTACAAATAGAGGATATACTCTTTCTTGTTTTACCCACAAAAGGCTTTGATAGAGTTGGAAATCCTGAAATAGAAATGATCAAAGGAGCTCCAGGTGAAATTTTTTTCAGAGTACAGAGCTTCCCGTTTTTACCTTTTTTAAAGCTGAGAAGTTAACACTAGGTGGCAGCAGAGACCCAGATTTGGTGAATCTGATCGCTTCCTAAGAAAGACTTCCTTTGAGTTTGCAGATAAAGGTTCAACCAGACGAGCTATTTCTCCAGTTGTGAAAGAAATATCTGCTCCATTCATCTGGATGCATCGACCCAGGGACTGAACAGACTTATGCCATTGGAAAAGAACAGCTATTTGAAGTCCTGCCCATAACCTCCTCGACTATGAATGTTTCTCACACATCATGGCACTCTCTCTACCTGCCTCATTATGTCCTTTCACTCAAAGATCAGCTTTGGGTTGGCAAACATTTACTACATCTCAATACATTAATACTTAAGTAACAGATTTTTTTTAAAAGGCTTGGTTCTATTTTTCCACCCATCCACTTCACAAATATCTTGTTCGGTTTCAGACACCGTGCTACCCTTTGTAGAAACACACTTGTTCATGAGACGTGATTCCTTCGATTTCATGATCGTACGTTCAGTGTGCAGCATGCTTATTGTAATGAGGGTTTTCTGGGTTAGAAATTTGGAGTGAAAAAAAAAAAGAAAGAAATTTGGAGTGGCGGGAATAGAGGCTGTGAATCTCAAGACCTGTGTTCCCACTGCAGCTTTTTAAAAAAAATTATTTATTTTTAATTGGAGAATAATTGCTTTACAATATTATGTTGGTTTCTGCCACACATCAACATGAATCAGCCGTAAGTATACCTATGTCCCCTCCCTCTTGAACTTTATCCCACTCCTCTAGATTGTCACAGAGCACCTTATTGAGCTCTCTGCATCATAGAGCAAATCTCCACTGGCTATCTGATTTTGCATATGTTTCACTGCTACTCTCTCAACTCATCCCATCCTCTCCTTAACAGAAGAGGCTCGTAACAGAAATATGTGAAGCAAATGAGTGTTAGGATTTGCTTTATGAAGACAATTTCATGAAATTCTCTAGAAAGACATTTTGCATATGAAGCACATTGGACTGTTCCCTTACACGAAGAACTGTTCTTCTCTCTCAATTATTTTTTCTTGAACCCCTCAGCCTTCTAGAGCTTCCCTTTATCTTCCCATGTCAGTAGAGTCACAGTGTAAGGGGTTTTGATTCAGTTGCAGCTGACTCTACCACAACTGGAAGTGATCAGTGAATCTAAGAGGAGTGTTAAAATACAGATGCTCAGGTGAATTTGAACTTCACTTGGAAGATATAAGTTGTTTATCTGAGGTTCAAAAAATTTTTTTAATTTTATTTGTTTATTTGGCTGCTCTGGGTCTTAGTTGTAGCATGTGGGATCTAGCTCCCTGAGCAGGCATCAAACCTGGGCCCCCTGCACTGGGAGCTCAGAGTCTTAGCCACTGGACCACCAGGGAAGTCCCTGAGGTTCAAATTTAAGTGGAGATCTTGTATTTTTGTTTGCTGAATCTGGTGATCCTTGCATAGGGTCATGCTTGAATTATACCCTGAATTATTCCCAGCTGCTGGCTCCAGTGGGCCTCTGACTCTGGGCATGGGATCCCATCCTTCCAGATCTCTACCAGCTCTGACTCTGGGGCCTCACCTGGAATCTGTTCCTCATGGCTTCTTCTTTGTATCACCTGTCCGTAATGAGGTCTTAAAGTCCAGTAGCCAATATACCAAAGGAAAGATACCTAGTGTCTCACTAGTTATCTGGGAAATCCAAGTTAAGATGGATTTGGTGAGACGGTACACAGTGGTAAGAGCCTGGGCCTTGTGGCCAGATTGCGTGGATTGCATCTCAGCTTGCCTCTATCCTTGGCACTGTGCTTCAGTTTCTGCCTCGTAAAGTATGAGTAGCAGTACTTACCCCAAAGGGATTATTTTGAACAACGTGTTTCTAAATTTCCAGTATTGCTTCAGAGTTCATTACGCTCCGGCATAGAGTTCTTTCTGCTCTCCTGGCAGGGTCTCCTGAAGAATTAGGGGATTCATGTGCTGTGTGTGCCTAGTTGCTCAGTTGTGTGCGACTGTTTGCAACCCCATGGACTGTATCCTGCCTGGCTTCTCTGTCCATGGGGATTCTCCAGGCGAGAATACTGGAGTGTGTAGCCATTCCCTCCTCCAGGGGATCTTCCCAACCCAGGGATCGAACCCAGGTCTCTCACATTGCAGGCAGATTCATTACTATCTGAGCCACCAGGGAACCCCTGGCTCCCTAATAATCAGCTCCCCCACCACAGTTTACTTTGAAACCCTCAGGACTCAATTCGTTATGTTCTATAGCCTTATTTATGCCAACACAGAAAGTTAATAAATGTATTTCACTCAGTCAGATGATCAAGGTGAACAGCGACAGTGATGAGTCATGTTGACAGTGTGATATGATAATGTGAGGAATTTTACCTGTATGGCCATCCTCTCCCCAATTCATATCCCCAGTCTTGTTATGAGAAAAACATCAGACAGATCCCAGCTGACGAACATCCTATGAAATACCTGGCCAGGACCCCTCAAAATTGTCAAGGTCATCAAACGCAAGGAAACTGAAAAACTGTCACAGCCCAGAGAAGCCCAAGGAGATATGATGACTAAGTATAACTGTAACTTGGGATTCTGGGTGGGAGCCTGAAATAGAAAAAGGACATTTGGGAAAAACTAAGGAGATCTGAGTAAAGTATGGACTTAGTTAATAATAATGTGTCAGTCAGTACTGTTTTATTCATTGTGACAAATGTACCATATTAATGTGTGGTGTTAACAAATAAGGAAACTGTGTGTGGGGTGTATGGGAACCATCTGTAGTAACTTTGCAATTTTTCTGTAAGTCTTAAGTCTCTTCTAAAATAAAGAGGTTATTTAGGGACTTTCGTGGCCATCCG